TAGCATGGGGAGGATTTGGAATTGTTTCAGGGCTTATGATGTGGGTTATAGAGTTATAGCTACAATTGGAAAGAAAATACAAACTCACACCAACTAGAGGATTTGCCGCTGAGTTTGCTGCTGCCGGCTCTGTGTGGTTCTGTTTGCTTCAAAGGTTAGGGCTGCCTATCTCAGCTACCCATACTCTAGTTGGTGCAGTAATGGGGTGTGGATTTGCACAGGGGTCTTAACAGTGTTAGATCAGAAACTGTGAAGGAGATTGTGGCTTCTTGGGCTGTAACTATTCCTGTTGGTGCTTTTCTTTGCGTCTTCTATACCTGGATCTTGACTAAGGTTTTGTCTTGTATTTTATGAGAGTACCTTCCAAGATATGAACAACAACGTATGTGTGGACCATTGAAGGACAGAGTTCTGTGGTACATATCGGAGAAGAGGATAGTGGGTACCAGATGTGTTCTAAACAATGAGGCTCCTTATGATTCATTAGTTGGGAGAGGGTACGTCTTTTAAGTTTCAGATCATTACTCAATACCTAAGACTAGCGAGCTCGGTTCCTCTCGGGATTGAAGAAACTATCCCTCTGCAGCATTCTATGACTCTGTATCCGACCAAAGCTCATCAAGAGTACCAAATTTCAGGAGTGTAAATATTGAGGCCCATCCATTGGGAAAAACCATGCTTCGCATGGAGCAGCCATGCGTAATTGATAGTGTTTCCCCCTTTTTTCTTCTATCTTTATTCTAAGTCTCTCTGAATAATGTTGAAAAATTCTTCAGTAGTGTGAAGTAGCCCTGTTAACCATGAATGTTTGTTGAAGCCTAGACCGGCGCTTTCTGAATTAGCAAAACAAGAGTGCTCGCATGGCAATTAATATTACTTTCCCATCATAGAACGCGTTTTAGAATTTAAGAAATCAGCGAAAGGACCGTGTGTAGAACACCGATTTTGAACTCTATGCCATCAATAAAACCCGTACCAACAAACTTGGATAGAGGTGACCATCAAATCAGGAAATCATGTGCAGATATTAGCAAAGATCCAGAGGTAAATAATGCATCTGAAAAGATCAAAAGAAGTTTGATGTTTCTACATTATTATAGGATGTAAAAGCTATTATTTAGAACCGAGCAAAAGAAATCAATGACCCTAGTCGTATAAATGTTAAAACTATATTATATGGCCAAGTCGTACAAGTAAAACCATTAAACCATAACAAAATCACGGGGAGAGCTCTGGCACACACTTGGGAGGCTGGGTTGCCATCCCGAAATCCGATATGGTCTTACCCTTGGAAGAGGTGGCACAAAAGGCTTCTTTCCTTTTATTCCTTTTCGTCTTGGATATCTTATTGTAGGCTTATCCCAGGACCCGTGTAAGCCCTCTGAAGAGCAGACAGGTTCATTGTCAGATCCTTCATCAAGAGACTGTTTTGCGTTTGCGTCCAATACAATTTTGATTTTTCTGTTCTCTTCTGTTTTGCGTCCACCGGGAGACAAGGAAGTCTTGGCCTCGAACTCCTCTTGTCCTACCTCATTGTGAACTTCGGATTTACCATTTTCTCTGATATGTCCCTTTGGAGACTTGGTGATATTCACTTTCAGTAACTCTGGAGCCACCCCATTAGGCTCTCTGTTTTGCCTTCCTCTGAAAGTTTACGTTTCAGCTTCCCCACCATCTCGAAACGAGATTATAATATATTTTTACCAGGAAGCAAACGCTCTTCTGGCCACAACACTGACTGGTGAGGATTTTTGAAGACTTCTGGCCTGGCAACACACATGCCAGGATATTTTTCCATCCAACTTGGATGCAAGGATTGCATCTTGATACAGCTCTTGTTTTCCACCTGCATGAACTATCCTCACAAAAATATCATTTGATTTTTGAAAGCTGTAGTCTGGGATGCCTTAGTTCTCTCTCAGCTGGCTCTTTCTTCTTCTGGATCTCTATCATTCTTCTCCACCAGGGCCTAACGAGTAAGCAACGCGCTTGAGCATAGCCTGCAGCCAGTGTGACCCCAATCTTTCATTCTCACCAGTTACTGATGGATAATGTTGGGTAGGGTCTGAGCATGATCAAAGTCAATGATATTTAAACATTTAGCCACTACAGATTCCTCTTGTTTCCAATGGCCGGCCTGCCACTAAAATAATATTTCCCCCACGTCACCAATGATAAAACCAAGGATCAGCACATTCTTAAACATATGCGTGTGAAAAGGTAAATGGTTTTCTTGGTCATTCTTCCTAGAGCGAAACAAAAATTTTGCCTAGAGATGATGAGAAAGGATCCACGCTCCTCGAATTAACTTCAATCTTGATACGGTGTCAGCTCTGCAGACACATCCTTGTGCCAGGATCGTACTCCCATAAACCTGACAAGACTTGACGCTCCAACTTCTTCAGCCTCCCACTGATCCAGTTGTTATGAATAACTACACATCCCTTCCTCAAACACGCTGCTTTGACATCTTTGCTCTGCCACAAATCTAGGTAAGCACCGTTTGGAAAAAGGTCTCTGTCTAAAAAATATACTGTCACGTTTGTTTCAGGCTCCATACATCTTTTATCACCTGCTCTGTTGATTCCACCTTCCCCACATAACATGTCATAAAAGCTTGGCTGCTCAGATAAGCCTGAAGTTGCTGCATGTTTCACCACTTTCTCCATAGCAGCAATTGTTTGATTATCGGAATGAGCATAATAGAAGCCAGAGTTCAAACGTCTGGGTAGGTTTATTGGTCCTGCATATGTGGCATTATCTTTCTTAACAAGGAAAATAACAGCTAATAATCCACCTTCCCTCAAGATTGTTTTCCTATATGGCGAAAGAATGGAGATTTCATTACCATATGACTACGCATTACGATGTTTCTCACTCAATTCATTTTTATACAAGTATTTTATGTCCTGAATTATGAAAAATAAAATGTGAATCTTAACTGAGGGATGCTGACCTTCCTTCTTGAATTCATCAGACTGTGCAGCAAGAACCGCAGGGCCAAAAGATTGAAGCAATGGAACTGGGTTTTTAAACCAATATACATCGACATCACTGAGAAGTACATTGTAACCTAGCTTGAGGATCTTCAAAACTAATCTGGACTTCACTTTCGTCACCATCTGAAAGCACTTTGTTCCGAAGTGGCAATCATTAAAGCTAATATTACTTGGAGCTAAAGGATCCCTGAAAACAGGAATTCCCTGCCATAAAAGTGAATGAGAAAAGAGGAAAATCAAATTCAGACGCATAAACCTGACTGCTTTTAAATAGTCCAATAAGCTTGTAAGGTCATATAAATGGTGGTATCAAATCAAAACACTAGAAATGTCAAAAATCTCTTGGCCAAACAAAACAAAAATTCATAAATCATAGTGTGACTCAGTTCTTTTACGGTCATTTAACAATTAAGGCTAGGAGTTTATGTAGGGTATAACTATGACTCAGTTCTTGAAAGGGGAAAAATTCGAAGTAGCTTAAATCAAGACCCGGTACAAACTAATGCAACATTGTAGAGGGCTATTAGCTAGATTTTCAAGGTTCATAACGTAACTCCAACCAATATGATCAGTTCACTAGGTCTCAGGTTTGTGTAAAACACCAATATAACATGGTTAAGAAACTCCATAATTCCGCACGAATAAGTTAGAATATACGCAAATTATATTCTTCCAAAGAAACTGCACTATACCTGCAAGATCGAGAATTGATAGGTTTCCTGATCAAGAGCACAAACTATAAAATTTGCAATGGAGAGGTGACGCAATCTACAAACCCAACTCATGAGCATGTCCTTGTAACTATATCCAGCAACTGTAACTACAATCGTCTTATTTTTGTCTGCAGTAACAGACAGGAGTGATTCTAAGGAGAATGGAAGTTCCAAAGGTGCAGAATGTAACATCTTATCTTTGAAAGGGTACTCTAATAATCCGGCCAGTGATCTCCGGTCGGCAATGCAAGTTACTGTGCTTTTCTTTAACCAAGAATGGAAGATATTCCCCTTCCACTGTCTCACTTCACCTCGACGTCCAATTAGATGGACACTATTTTTCAGTCTGTCAATTATAAAATATTGATCACCACATCTGAAAAGTTTAAGCAGGCTAGAATAGTTAGCTTCATTATAAAAGAATGAGCCGTAGCGTGACCCTAGATGGGAATTGCCCATGTACTCCCATTTTCGGCTTTCAATATCTAAAGTGATAGAATCCGTAACTGTAGGATGGAAATCATCCTGACCATCCAGATGGAGGCTTGTGATGGTCCAGCTAGCATCAATCACCAATCTGAACTCAGATGATAGAGTCTCATGGATTATCCAACTATTATGTACATTTCTCCCGAATAAGAAAGGAGGAAGAACTCCATTATGTAGGGGCATGTCCCCGTTGTTCCACGCTATGAGCATTTTTGTATCACAATGATTCCATTGCCAATCCTTTTGAAGTATTTCCCGCAGCTGAAAGAACAAGATATGAGTTAAATTTTATTGATGTACTTCTGCAAAACACGGAACAGTCCTTCAGGTTCTGTTCTGGAAATTCTTTCATACCTCTTGGATCTGCACCCGTTTCCCATTATCTGTGTGCCAATGTTTTCCAGAGTTGTCCAAGTGGAATGGAAAGTAAGAAGCATTTCGAGATGAAGCAACAAGAAGCCAATCATGGTCAAGTTCAAATGCACGATTTAGGGTGGAGATGAATCCAGAAACGATAATGGTTTCGGGATCAACTATAACATATACGTCTGAAGTGAACGAGCGTGATTTTGCAATCATGGAATGGAAGAATGGAGTACCAAGGAAGCTGGATGCATAAAAAGCATATATTAGAAGACAGTAACTTGGAGCTTACCCTGCAGAGTAAGCAACACCGCTTTACCTTATTTTCACAGTTTTGATACCAAAAATGAACCATTATATCTTATTTTAAAGCTTATGAAATAATTGACCCTAGTTGCTTTCTTGTTAAGTAACTAAACATGCAAAAGATAAAACTTTTCTAAATTTTGGAATAGATACCCTGCTTCCCAATGCTGCAGCCGCGTTTCACTTTGGTTAATAATCCCTTAAGAATTTGGCTTCAGTAACTTACCATGCCCTGAGATTGTATCAACATGCTTACCCACTTGCATTGATCACTAACTAATAGGCTCAGCTTTTAAACTTCAAATCCCTTTTCTCTGGTTCAAGAATTACACACACACATATATGTCAATGAATAAGGAACATAATTATAAATGTCTTCTTTTCCCCCCTTGTAAAAAATAAATTTTCGTTCTCAGATAACTGACACCAACGACCGCTTTCCGAAATCTGAATTATGAGTGTCCATTAGTAATGCAGCACATCCATGAAACGTTTATTTCTTCTCTGTATTGGAATATGCAGAGTTATAGCATTACTTACGTGAAATCAATGTCGGTATTAACCAGAACGCGGGAACCAAAAGCGGCGGAGAAAGAGGCAACGGATGGGTCTTGGCTGTACAGAACAATAGAAACATGTGGAGATAAAGCGAGCCATGATCGAACAGCTAGAGTCTGCCTGGTGCCAGCAGAGCCCGTGAAAGGTTTAGGCGCTGTAAATATAGTGATATTGAGATTTCTCGAATGCAATACAGTATTTGGGTTTATCTTGGGAGTTCTGATCTGATCCTTAAGCGACGGTAACTTTTGAGTGGCATACAGAGAGAGGCCAATCAAGATAAATCCGGATAGCCAAATCAACCATAGCTCCAGCTGAAATGCCTGTCAATTAGATCCAAGATAAACACAATAAGAAACAAAGAAGACGAATAAAAATGCAACTCACAAGTGTTCAAATAAACTCAATAGAACTCAAAGGAAGAGAGGAAGGACCTTCATTGTTGTGTTGTTGAGCTCACAATGAGCTCAAGATTCGGGTTTAAACGATTGTATTATTGAGTGTGAGTTTGGTAATAAGGAGAGAGAGGAAATGAGACTTTAACGGAAAGAAGGTAAAGAAATGCAGAAGTAACAAACCCACGAAGCCGGTGGGAGCAGAAGCACCGAGACGGGAAGGCCATGGGACATGTGAGGTTTGGCGTTGCAAGCACGTCAGCTTCCATTGAGGAAAGATCTTCATTTTGAATTGAATTGAATAATGGAATTCTCAATGGAGGGAGGAGATCAGAGAAGGCTACGTGAAGATCCCCAAAGTCAAAAGTCAAACCTGCTAAATGACAAAAACTAACGCCATAACAATACTTGTTCAAGGAAAGGCCGAACGCTTTCCAAATGCGTTTCATTCCCTTTTTTTTTTTTTTGCCGGCGTTGAACATACGTTTCGTTCAAAGACCGACATCATTTGCTGATACGGTGTGCAGAAAATTAGTGTTAATCAATTCAATATCCACTATTAACATGAAAATATCTATTTTGATCCTGATTTAAAGATAATTTAATTTAAAAATTATAAGTATTTAAAGCTCATCATGGGATGATCCTGATTTTCCCGAAAAATTATTAATTTTATATTTTTAAGGCATAATAGTTTTTGAGCTCTTGGCCATACCAATGTTTACGGTTGATGTGATTATGCGCTTTGGTGAAATTAAGTTCATAATGTTAGATTTTTGTCTTTGGTTGCCTTTTATAATGTTAGAATTAGGTTTTATTCTAAAGTCGTGCTATTGAGTCTATTGAGTCTGTCTGGCAGAATGGTTCAGGAGCCCTAAAGTTACTTATTTCAACTTATTAAGCATGTTTAGAATTTTAGTACCTGGCTTTTGGCCTATCTTATTATGATTATTTTTTTAAAATTTGGCCTATCTTATAAGCTAAAAGTTACATTCAGAAGCAGGATTGCCTTAAGTTAAAAAAAAACTACTTATAACTTATTAAAAGTTACTTATAGGCCTATCTTACTTATAACTTACTTTTTATTCAATCATAATCTAAACAATTTTTTGTCCGATCTAATTTTTACAAACTAATTTTTATAAAATTCAATTCAAATATAAATTATATTAAACAATTTAAATTTTTAAAAATTAAATTAAAAGTAAATTATTTTTCCTATCACTAATTCAAATGGACCCATTATTACTTCAAAAGTGTTCGTAAAAGAGCCATGGGTCCTAAGGAAAATTATTGAACAACATACACACTATTGAACTCTTTCAAAATCGGTATAATGTTATCTTTTTAAAACCTTAATTCTCCAATTTTTTTAAATATAACTTATTAAAATTTTTTCTTCTATTTTTTCCCATCATTTCCCTCGCCACCAAACATAAGGTTAATGTTAAGTCGACCGTATAGAAACACGCACAGAAAAACGTGCGCGAATAAGTACAAAAACGAGAGCGAGCAAGTATTAAAAATAATCAAAATTGATCGCGATAAAATACTGAATTTTTTTGACCTGAGATAAAATGTTGAAAATTGACGGATATGGATTATTTACTTATCTAACATATGGTACAATCGTGATGCTTGCTTCAAACGAAAGTAGGATGTGATTCCTCTTCTTTGCATGGAATTTAAATCAAATTCTATTATTAGTAACGTATTGAGAATGCGATTTCTCATACACAGATAAATTATGAAACAAATAGGAATTAAGATTTTTCAAACATTAAGAAACAAAGTTAAAGATACACTTGCCTTAATGACAAGAAAAAAGAATAAAATTAGTTCAAAAGGTAAGGAATAATTGTATGCTTTTTTTAATCAATTTCATAAAATAAACTAATTCAGACTCTGGCTAAAAAAAGTAATTTTTTTCCCTAGGCTAAACAAGGCCTAAATTTGACACAAGTAATCTGCTTATGAAGTAGAAAAACAGGGCAGTGACCAAGTGATTTGCAATGCCTAATCATGCAGCGAGGACATACATTCAGAATCAAATTTCATTGCCCTCTATTGCATATGTCGCCAAAACCAGGACATTGACATGGCTACATACAAACAGACTTCCAGCAAACAAGATGGGAGATACTAGAGACCATAGATTTTTTTTCCCTTTCTTTACATCAAAACCTTGCCACCAAAGCGAAAAGACATTCCTATCACCGTTTCCACTATGTATTTCTCCCTTGAGAAGGGCAGAACCCAATAAAATAACGGGGTATGGATGTATCTGACTTACAAAAATCGTGCTACTCGTGAAACCTCACTGATATTCTTTCTCACACACGACCTTCGGACTTCACGCCCACACCCTCCAATTGTCTGTCCTTTCATCTGAATTTCGTTGATGCAACCATCTCCGTCCTCTTCATTCAGGTATTTCTGGCTAATCATCGATGCCGTCGACCAGGTGATCTGGATCTTGATCTCCTTCCCCTGCATAAAAGCAAAAACAACACGTAAACAAGGCAGCTCTAGAAGGCACATATTAAGAAGCTTGGCAAATTCACCTGAGTAGCTCATTCTTATATGATGGTGGTGATGGGAGTTTTGTCTCAAAAACTTAAATCATAATCAGGTAAAACTTTGTGGCAACAAACCTGGAAGTATCAAGAGAAGAATAGGGAGAATGCCTGCGCTGAGAATGCTTGCTATGAGGAGACCGCGAAACTTGTCTAAAAATGAAACCACCGTACTGACTTGGTGAGTTAAAAGGCACACAAAGTTTAGGACAAAAACTCAACCTTGTACAGAGTCAAAACTCCATAGGAAGCAGCTTGTTACTGTAAATCTTTTTCTGTTTTCGATTAATAGAGTAGAAGACGCAATCAAAGTTTACTAGCTACTAAAACCTCAATAAAAGCTACAAAACTAACTGATGAGACCCTCTCCTAGTTCAATTAGATAGAGCGGAACAACCATCGGGTACCACAATTTTGTTCATCAAAAATTGAGTTCTTGCTATAAATAACTGGTAAACAAAAGAAATGCAATAGTACTTTATCACAAGCAGATACATGTATGACCCAAACAGTTAGTTGACTTGTAAGATGCACAGAATTTATAAAATTTTACCGTATAACTTGCACAGGGAAATGGCTAGAAAGAAATTGAATGAGATCTCAGCTTTAAAATACGGGAATTGCTAAAATCCCAGGCTCAAAAGGTGCAAGCAGAAACTAGCTATTAAATAGATCAACTATCACTAGATGAGTAAAGACAACAATTTATTTGGATTAATATGCCTTTGGGACCTTTTACATCTTGGTCTCAACTACTAACTTGTCATGTAAGAAGTCACTTAACTTGCCCCTAATCTTTTTATTACTTTCATAATTTATCATATTATTACATTTTAAAAGATTTTTTAAAAAAATTATAAGAAATAATATAATGCACGTCAAGCCTCTAGTAATATTGACAGCTCCTAGGTTCCGTTTGATATGAAGCATTAAAAATGAGGGGTATAATTGGAATTAGGATTGAACAAATATGTTAAAAGAGTATTTAGTATGAGTGATTACTTGTTACTTAGGATTAGACAAATCCATATAAGTGGGATTGGGGAATACCATAGGGGAAAGTAGTATTCCCCAATCCCACTTATATGGGATTGTCTAATCCCATGTAACTAGAAATCACTCCTACTAAATATTCTTCTGCTCCTTAATATAAGACCTATTTAACTAATTTGATTAGATTAAAAAAGTTAGGTAAGTTAGTTAATTATAAGAAATATAGCATGTTTTTCCTAAAACACCATAATTATCTTTTTTAATATCCTCCCTTCCTCTTTTATTTGATTATGGTTGAGGAAATATCAATAGGGGTAATTTAAACAAAACTGATAAATATGAGAAATAAGTTTTATATTTAGGACTAAAATCAACTTAACAACCAAGTTTTCTATTAAGAACTAGAGGAGTACTCTTTAACCTTTTTTTTTTAATCCCAATCTCAATCCTTACCTTTTATTTTTAATGCTTCATACCAGATAGGACCCTAGTTCAAATTTAAAGTCTCTGCAAGTTTGACATAAAAGTTGCACTCATGCAATAATATCATCTTGTAAATAATACAAGTCAGCCAAGCAGAGGCATAATGATGAGCAATGATACATGCATTAACCGAGTGGCAAGAATCCAAAGCTCGGATATATTTCTGACCCGAAAAATAAAATAAAACAATTGAATATACAGAACTGTTAGGCTAAACATCTGGCCTATGAAAAGTGAGATGTGTTCTTTCGGTTATGAGAATTCAGGCGAGTGATTGTGGCATCATAAGACATCAACTAAGGCTGAAACCAGGAAATGAAAATGCCAAAAAGAAGATAACACAATAGCAGCTAACAGACGCATGGAGAAGAAGATAAAGGATTTGGCTATATGACTAACAGAAAATACGTTCTAATTCTTCCATGGTACCAAAGAAAGAATCAACTTAGTTCGCACATAAAATAAGTAAACAAAAATGTCACAAAAAAAAAAGTAAAGTAAACAAAAAGTTATTAACCACAACCACCGAGATTATATTTGCAAAAAAAAAAAAAAAAAAAAAAGAGGATATGACAGAAACCTGTGTAAGTAAGCACAAACTAAATGATAATTAATACGATTGTTACTCTTTTTATATCTGGAAGGAAGAAGGAATTGCTTTAAGCAAAACAGCTCGTCTCTGTATCTAAAAGACCTGAACACCAAAAATTGATAGCACAAACCTGAATATAAATAATGAATGTTTAAATAAAGTATACCTTCTTCTAGACCTGACAGGAGATGGTGACAAGTCTCGTTTTCTGGCATGTGGCTTCCTGCAGTACAACAATGTCATGATGCACTCTACGTTACAGTTAAAGGAAGAAGGTTAAGGGAACTCTGTCCAAAACCTTTTTGAGCCATCTGAGCCTTCATCACTTGACTCACTCGTGCGATTAACCGCCTGGTCTCTGCTGCTTCTACCTCTACTGCTTACTGATGATGAACGTTTCCTTTTATGCCTGTCAGACTTGCTTGACTCTTTGTGTCTTGATTTGTGTTCCCCCTTATCCCTTGAATGTTCCTTTCTTCGGCTAGTTTCTTCCATGGAACTACCTCTGCGGCTTTTTTCTGCTTCCTTGTTGTCTCCCTTGGCATCTGCAACTGAGGACTTCTTCCTTGACTCAGAATCCCTAGTCTTCTCCCCATGCCTTGCACTGTCATCCTTCCTCCTTTCTTTTACCTCATTGCTGCCATCTGCTTTTTCCCTTTTCTGATGTCTTTCATCCTTTCTTCTATGATCCTCATTAACTTTTTCATCTACCTTAGCCTTACTACTTTGTACATCCTTAGCAAAGTCCACTGAAGAATTCTGGCCATGTCCATCAGCTTTTTCCATTCTTTTTCTGTTTTCCCTAACTTGAGGATCTTCTGTTGCTTTTTCAGCACCAGTAGCCTTTCCATTAGTCCTATCATGCTTTCTTTCAAAAGCATTAAGCTCATTCTTCCTATCTTCGGGAACATTCTTGGAAGCTCGTAGATGATCTAATTTTTTTGTCACCTTCTCGTCATGCAACTCTGCAATAGCCACACCATTGCTAGTTTTGCCCAAATTAATCGCCAAATTTGTTTGACTTCTGCCATTTTCATCAAGTTTCAACAGTGAACTGCTATTAGTAGGTACATCATGCACATCTTTCAATGAATTCTTAATGCCAGCCTGATGACCATCTTTTAAAGGCAGCACACTCGAACTATCCATTTCATTATCTTCATCCTCAGCATCAGAAGCATAGTTCCCAAGACCTAAAACATCTCCTGGAGAGCTGGAATTAGATTTTTCATTGTCAGCATCGTGTTCAGGTTCTTTGACTTTAACTGGAACTAGAACCTTTGCGGATGCCTTATGAACTGGAACTGAGGGCGGGGATGCTGATGCCTTATGGTTTGAAGCCACTGGAAGAGAAAAAGGCAGAACTTGTAACGTTCAAGAGTCCAGAAAGTTAAAAATTCAATTGTCCATTAAGACTAGGGTTTAAAAGGAAAAACTAGAGCACGTCAGAATATTACCTTCAGAAGTCAGATCATCTTCCCTAAGAACTTTAGTTGCAATTTCATCAAAAAGCTCATCAGTTACCTGCTATGAACCTCTAGTTAGAACCACAGGATAAATGAATTTCTTTCTTTTCCTTTTTCCCCCTTTTCTTCTCTTTAGCAGGTAAATGTAGTGAGATAAGGTAACCAATATTTCTAACAAAACTAACCTTCAAAAGAACTTCAGTTAACACGCGTTTTATTTCCTGGTTAATGGCAGCAGTTCGAACAGCTTCAACATCATCCTACATAAAAAGAACATGGCTGATCAAATTTCAAAAACCAGAGCTGATATATAACAATTAATCAAAATTGCAGAATATATAGAAGACTTGTTTAGCAAAAAGAAACTTTATAGTAAAAAATAAAACCTCTTCATCTTCCTCCTCCTCCTCGGCTGATTTAGAAGAATCAATGCTTTTGCTATCTTGCTCGTCACCCTTTGTATATGACTTATCAACACCATCATTCATGAATTTTGATTCCTCCTTAGGGTGCTCAGCAGAAGGAGTAGCAATAACAGCTTTCTTTATTTCCTCTCTAAGCCAATTAGGTACTGAGGCCTGAAAAATAATTGCAAATGAGATTTAATAATATGTATGTACGTATGCATCCAACCAAGCACAAACCTTGAAAGCATAGGTACCTTTTTAGGACGTTCTGGAACACCAGAGACCCCATAAGCATCGACAGAGAAAGCTGATGTGGGATGTATTGTAGTTCCCGCACTTAGGGCAAAAGGTGCAGCACCTGGTGGAATTGGAGGAGGGAGGCCAGATCCAGGAAACCTTCCAAATGGCGGTGCCACATGCCCAGGAACAGGAGGTGCGGTAATAGAAGGGTCATGCTGCAAGATGTACTAAATGTCAGCATATTCATATGAAACCCATGAATTAGGGAGCAAAAAGACAATCAAATCAAGACCTGTGGCCCTGAGGCAAGAACTGGAGATATGGGTGGATAAACAACACCAGGTGCCACTGGAGGAGCCCAATTATTGATTGAAGGCACTCCACTTACAGGATCAACGCCTCTGATAGAAGTAGCTGGATCATGATGACCATAAGTTGATTGCATTTGTAGGTCACCATCACGATTAAACCTAGGTGTAAAATCTAGAGGCTGATCAGCAAGACTGATAGCTGGGTCCACTGAATGGCTACCAGATGCAAAGGGTGCTTGCACTGATGGCTGCACATGATGTTGTTCCTGGGATGACAAACTTGACAAATGCATCGATGTGTATGATTGCTGACTCTGATGATCAGTTCCATTACCTGTCATTTTAATCATCAGTCAACTTGGGAAATAATTGACAGAAGAAGAGAATGCTTGAAGTTCAAAGTAGGCCGCAGATGCCTGGAATTCCACTCCTCAAAGTAATGCTGTTGCTTCCTCACGTTTTGTATGATAACCCAACTTCAAATATCATACTTGGAAAATATGCTATATATCAATTATTCATCAAAGATCTAACAAAACAAATTTATATCTAGGAGATCCTTTACCACTATAAAAGTGCATCTAAAAAATGTTTCTCTAATTTCTCGTTTAGATAATCACCATAAAAATGCTACAACTACACCTAAACCAAGGAACAAAAACTACACTAACTGATTAGAAAACACTGAATAAAAAATAATATATTCACCAAATTGACAATTCTCTCAATTTTATATGCAAACCCAGTAGCATGGCCTGCCCATTTTACATTTTAATTGATGCTCAGAATTTCGAACAAAATACCATTAACATCTGTTAAAAAGAATTCTTTCTATGATTCCATTAGAGCATCTTTCAACAATGTAACATGACCCCCAATCAAATATTAAAATGAAGAAGCACCATAGTGATACGCAATTCACTAGGCAAGTTAGCGTCTGTCAAATGTGACAAATTATCAATATGAGGTAGTCCCAGCAAGTGAGGCGCAGAGGCGCTAAAAAAGATGAGTTCCCACAACGATGATATGCTATATTAGCAGCAATATGTTCCATCCTACAGAAGGATTACTTACAATACTTGGGATGACAACCCTCATAAAAAATTAGCATACAGTCGTGCAAATAATGATTCATAATGCATGATGAAGTCCACATTGGATATTGCCCCATCATTATATAACACGTATTTTGCTGAGAATTCTGAATCAATCTAAACATATAAACAAAACTCTTCCAACTTTAACAAGGTATGAATCAAGCAATTTGATGGTTAGTTTCCTATGTTTAATACCCCAAAAAAAATGTTAGAAAATTACTTGAAACAGCTACTAATGTATTCGTCACGTCATGCCTAGACCAGTGCAATTGCTCAAGCATATTAATGTGATCTAGTTTATTGATCTAAAAATATTTATTAGACAAGGTGTTATGTAATTGTAAAATGGAATTAGTTAGGGAGCTAGTTAAGGGTAGATGGGACCTGGAATTTACTATGCATTTGTGATGTTAATGACTATTGGCGATATTGTAATTAGGCTTGAATGCCTGGATAATGAATTGAGTTTTCCCTTTCCCTCTATCTCTTGTTCTCTGTTCTATATTCCTCTCTTCTCTCTGTTCCCCCTCTCTACCTTCCCCTCTCTCCTTTCCTCTCTCCTTCCCAATTACTATTATATATCAGTGGCGTCAAGAGCCTGGTCATCCTCAGCCAATTGTGATGGAACCCCCTTCATTCCCAGATCCCAACTACCCTTAACTAACTCCATACATAATCCCTCTTCTTATTACAATCACATAACCGAAAGATTGTAATAGAATATTTGTTCAAAGGAAATATAGCAGGGACGAGCTAGGGTCAAAAGGATCTCTCTTTGGACCAAACTTAGAGAGCAATAAAATTTATGAAGCTACGATATTTTGCAAATTGACATGCTTGGTTTACAACAGGTCCACAATTCGTCATCATATATACTACAAGAAAAAATTAGAATATTAATTTATGAGCCATTTCAACACGATTCTTGAGCAAAGCTTCACTATCGAATTCAATATACTAAGTAAATAGTTACCTGCAACAGAACTATAACTAGAAGGTACCTCCTGCTGGTGAACTGATGTGTTCGTAGGTAGGTTTCCTTGGTGCTGAAACGCAACAGTTGGATCTCCAGTAGTGGTTCCATCTCTAGAATTGTATGACAAATGTCCATCTGATGCATAGGGTGCCTCTGAACTGACAGATGCATGCTCCTCCTGATGTCCTGGAAGGCGGCGTTGCATGGATGCATCTGAAGAGGAAAATTGTGGATAGCCAGATGAAGGATGAGAGTGGTTTTGAATATCAGGATAACGTGAGTCAACAGGTTGTTGATACTGATCATGATAATGGCTTTGCTCCTGTGATCTTCCAGCAGGTGAAAATTGTGATTGCGAATGCTGATGCTGGCTTTCCATGGCAGCCTTAGCATCTGCCCATGCTCTGGCTCTGGCAGCCCAGTCTTCTTCGTTCTTATGCGCTACAATTACAAACCCATTAGTTAAAAAAGAAGATAGAGGTTGAAAATAGTTTTTAGCAACTCCCAAAGGGGCAGAAGAGGACTAAAAGGTAAAGCAGAAACACACATGAGAAATCACAAAATATGTAATCATATTTCCCTTCCAATTATTGCATGTCAAGCCACTTATTAGTAATAACTCTTACAAACTACAAACGCCATGACAAAAAAGAACACATAAGATGACAAAACAAAAAATGTACAGAAAAAGGATGGGAGAAGACAAAACAAAAACACAGGTTACAAATAAAAGCAACGATTCTCGTACAAAAGTGCGGCAACTAACCTGGATAATCCCAGCTTTGGTTGGGAGGCCAGTTAGGAGTGCTCCATTCCTAGAATAGTTGACGCAATTACGAGATTAGCCAATCAAACAATCTTAAACCAAAAGAAGCTCACATTCAAAGTCCACATACATGAACTTATAGGAATCTTCAAAAAAGTTATCAACTAATTAATCCAAGAAAAATAATTCAAGGAAAAAAAAAACAAGATAGCCAACGATGTAAATACAAAGGCACCACTGTGACGAAAAGAACACGTGCTCATAAGCACCAGATTTACCTGAGGATAATGCTGAGGAATGTGGGTGTAAGGAGGGAACTGAGGAGACACATGGGAGCGAGCAGGGGGCGGAGGTGGAGCGAACTGGCCGAGATGGTAGGAAGGGGGAGGGGGATAAGTATTAGAGTGGGGAATGTACGAACCCGTCAGAGGAAAATGGTCGGGGTGAGGAGGAGGAGGAGGAGGAGGTGGTGGTGGGGCCCACTGTGGTGGAGGTGAAGGAGTCTGAGACGGGTGGTACTGAAATTGGTTGGAGAACCAAGGGCCTTGAGGAGGGGCCGGTTGCCTCGGTGGTTGTATCTGATTATGTTGATGAAACTGAGAGTGGTTGGGATCCGGCGTGTGGAGCGGAGGTGGCTGTGGCCTCATGTAACCGTGAGGCTGCTGGAAGGAGTCCATGAAGGGCCTTCTCTTGTAGCTCTGAGCTGGAGGAATTCGATTTCGAGATTATGAGGTATGTAGATTTGGACCGCAGGGAAGAGTTCGCGGGGCCAGAGAGCGGAAGGGAATGAGAAGAACGGACGTCGGAGAAGGAATTTTAGGAGGACGAGGGTTCACAGAGTCGCCGTGGGGCCTAGCGCTTGGAATCAAAAGGCTTCGATACATCGATATTCATATTCATACTCTTCCGGCAAGTAATTAAGATTTAGTGTGTTCGGCTCTTAAATAGAATAACTATTTTTTATATTTATTAATTTTTGTTAAATTATTTTTATGAATACTTCTTCAACTGTAATTAGGTAGAAGAGAGAAAATGAGTATTAAAAAAGATTATTATAGTATTTTAGAAAAAATATGTTACATTTTTTATAATTAACTAACTTATCTAACTTTTTTAATCTAATCAAATTAATTAAATAAATTTTATATTAAGTACGGAAAGAGTATTGTCAAATTAATATTTTTTTTTTTTGGTACAACTGAAAATAAAATAAAAAACTGGACTAAAGTGGGATTAATCCCACACAATCCTTCTCCACTAAGCTTCTCAGGATGCTCGGGCACGTATCAAAATATGATGAGGTTGATAGTCCTCTTTTAGCCAATTTATCAGCAACTTCATTAGCATTTCTACTGATATAGCAGAGCTGCACTTCCCAGTCAAACTTCAATAACTCAAGTGTCTGCATCATTAACAGGCTGCAATACTGATTGTTCCTCCCCTGATTAATAGACTCAATCAGATTCTTTGCATCAGATTCAATAATAACACGTTTAAATCCAAAATCCCAAGCTAACTTCAAGCCCTTGAAAATAGCCCAAGTTTCAGCCTCCAAAACATTACACCACCCGAGTTGAAGCGAGAAACCCACAATCCAAATTCCATTATGGTCTCTAATGCATCCCCCACAGCCAGCTTTTTTCGAGCTATTCGACACAGCACCATCCACATTTACTTTAATCCATCCTTTTGATGGTTGCTTCCAAATAGTTGAGCTGTCCAACGGCTGTTCTCTCATGCCATAATGCAACTTTGTAGCAGCAAAAGTGAGGTTCGGCCATCCATCTCTGATTATAGCTACTGGATTAGCAGGTCTAACAAAAGTCTCATCAAAAGTTGCTTTATTCCTCCAGAGCCACAATTTCCAAACAGTAACTCCCCATGTCAGATTCCAATTATTATTTCTATCAGAACCCATATTTTCCTTGAGATTTAGAGCAATCCACTCTTTTAAAGTACCAGAATAAAAACTGTTCACCTGTTTGTTGTCTACCAAAACATCCCACACTGATCTTGCATAGGCACAGTCTCTAAGAACATGTAGAATACTTTCAGCATTTTGAAAGCAATAAGAACACATAGGGGAACACTGAGACCATCTACTTCTCCATAGATTAGTAGGAAGTCTACCATGGAAAATTCTCCAAATAAATACCCGAATCCTTTCAGCACCTCTCCATTTCCAAATAAGCTTATAGATTGGACTATAGAGAGTTTGGGGATTCTCCTCCATCATAAAATAAGCACTCTTGATGCTGAACATACCAGTGCTTGAGTCTTTCCATACTAAAAAATCCTCCCCAGCAGAATCAAAAGGAGGCATTACTCCCTTGAGTTTTGTCAAAACCTCAGGCTTAACAATAGATTCCAGCTTATGAAAATCCCAGTTACCACAAATCATCCATTCTGCCACCACGCTGCTGTCCTCTTCAATAGACAGAGGTCTTAAGCAGAGTTCTTTAACTTTCACATCATGATATAGCCATAAATCATTAAAAAAATTGACTGATTTCCCATTCCTCAGCTGCCACATGGATCCTTTCTCAATCAATTCTCGTTGTCTGCAAATAAATTTCCAAACACTGGAATCTCCTGGCCTAGCATCAAATAGATTTTCTTCATTATGCAACATATACTTCTGAAACAGTACATCAGTCCACAGACCTCTTTCCCCTATCATTAATTTCCAGGCTAACTTTGCACCACAAGCAGAATTCATCGAAGCAAGTTTCCTGAACCCCAGGCCTCCATAAGACTTAGGAAGAGTAACAGATTGCCAACCTATAGGATGATAGCCTTGCTCATCCCTGTTATGACCCCATATGAAGTCTCTTTGTAGTCTTTCCACCTCATCACAAATCTTCTTAGGGATTTGGGAAACTTGCATAGGATAAAGAGGAATAGAGCTCAATACAGACTTAGCCAAAGTGATGCGACCTGCAGTAGACAAGCATTCCGCTTTCCAATTGGCTAACTTGTTTCTCACCTGGTCAACTATATATTGAAACTTTGCTGTAGGTTTTTTACTTTTTGTTAAGGGAAAACCAAGATACTTCCCTATTTCTGTTGACACTTTCATTTGTGTTGACTCTCTAATCCTTCTTCTAACATTTGCATCAACTTTAGGAGAGAAATATAAGGAAGATTTATCTCTGTTAACTTTCTCGCCTGAAGCCTGAGAAAATTGATCCAAAACTTCCATCATGCAAGCAACTTGTTTCTCAGAAGCAACTCCAAAGAGCAATAAATCATCAGCAAACATTAGATGAGAGATAGAAAGGCCACCTTTGGAAATGGAAATAGCTCTCCACTTACCTTCATCAACTGCATCACAGATAAGATGGGATAACCTATCCATACAAAGAACAAAAAGAAAGGGGGAGATAGGGTCTCCTTGTCTAAGACCTCTCATAGGAGCAAAGTACTCAGTTGTTGATCCATTCCACAACACATTATAGGTTACAGAGGTTACACAATCCATAACAAGATTCACAAATTTATCATCAAAACCCACATCATACAGTACAGTGCGAAGGAAGTTCCAATTAAGCCTATCATAGGCTTTCTCCAGATCAACTTTCATTGCTATAAGCCCTCTCTTTCCTCTGGCTTTACTCATTACATGAAGAACTTCCTGACCAATGATAATGTTGTCCTGTATAAGTCTTCCTTTGATGAAGCTGGACTGGAAAGGGGAAATTAAATCATTCATCACTGCTTTAAGTCTGTGGGTGATAACTTTAGTTAAGCATTTGTAATGCACTGAACAAAGAGAGATAGGCCTGAAGTGAGCAACTAGCTGAGGATTTTCTCTTTTTGGAATAAGAGAAATCAAAGTTTTGTTTGAGTCATCCACTTTTAGACTTCCCTGAAAAATGCCTTTGACAAAGCTACAAATAGAGGGGCCCAACACCTTCCAATTGTGTTGAAAAAAGATAGGGGAGAATCCGTCGAATCCGGGGGCTTTGTAGGGGCCCATAGCGAACAGCGCAGATTTAATCTCTTCATCAGTAGGCAAATTACTCATATCATTTATCAGATTGCGATCAACCTTAGGAAAATTGGCCCTCGTTTCTAGGTCATTATAGCTGGTGTCATTCGAAGAGAATAAAAGTTTGAAATAATCGACAACCATTTCTTTCAGTTCAGCATCATCATCCACCCAATTACCCTGTTCATTTTTCAGAGTAAGAATTTTATTCCATTTCCTCCTCTTTTGAGTTTTTAGATGATAATAACGAGTATTCCTATCTCCCTCAGTTAACCAATTTGATCTAGACTTTTGAAACCATTTGACTTCTTCCAACTTTAACACCTCCTCTAATTCCAACTGCAAGTTTGATTCAAGATCAGTAAGGAATTTTGATAGAGGATAGGCTGGAGATTTTTGAATACCTTCCAATCTAGCAAAAATATTCCGTTTCTTCAATTCTACAAAGCCAAAAACTTCCTTATTCCATACAAGGATGGAATCTTTAAAGTGAGACAAACTCCTATTAATATCATCATCACACTTCCAGGCATTTTCCACAAAACTATTGAAATTCTCATGCTCAATCCACATAGCTTCAAAACGAAAGGGTTTGTTCCCTCTAAAATTCAATCTTTCAGCATCAAGACACAAACTCAAAGGATTATGGTCAGAAAATTTTGTTCGAGCACATACCTTTATCAAATAATTTTGAAAAGAAGACATGAACATAGCATTGCCCAAGGCTCGATCCAGTCTCTCATACATCCGTGAGCACCCCATCATCTTTGGCCCTTTCCAAGTAAACTTAGGACCTTTAAATCCTAAATCTGTCAGCCTGCACTCTTTAATTCGGTCATTAAACCAACTCATTCTGTTGCTGTTTGGATGTCTTCCACCTATCCGTTCTGACTCCTCCGCAATGTCGTTAAAATCCCCAATCACCACCCATGGATCAGAGATACTTTGGGATAATAGTTTCAACTCCTCCCAAAGAATTTGTCGGAACTGTGAGTGGGGAATTGCATAAATGGCAGTAAGGAAAAAAGAAGGTTTCCCTGCGACTTTGCATTTTAAGTGTAGAAATTGTCTATCACTTTTATGAACTGAAATCTGAACAAAGTCACTCTTCCAAGCAACCGCTAGACCCCCTGACCGACCAGTACTTGGAACAGAGAAAAGACTGTCGAAGCCCAGTGAGTATAGACGCTGTAATTTTGAATCATCTCCACACTTTGTTTCTGAAAGCATAAGGAGCGCAGGTTTTGAGTTTCCAAAAATAGCCTTCAGATTCCGTGTGAAGTTATTACCACCCACCCCCCTAATATTCCAATACATTATTTGATCCATAAACATTAAAAAGAAAACGGATCCAGAGCCCAATTAACACGACTCAATAATTAGAATTGGGTTTCAGGTACCATAGGCCCATCACTTTGGGTTTCCTTCTCAAATTCATCACTAGATGGGTTTACCAGCATTGGCCCACATTGCTGTACCTCAGGCCCTTTGTCCATCTCTGAATTTTCACCCGGATCATGAGGGAGGGGTGCAGTATCTTCGATATAATCCATCTGCTCTTCCCCAATGTTCTCATTCGAGATATTATTATCTCCTTTACCAAAATTCCTTCGAGCTGAGCCCTCTTCTTCGGTTTCATCCAGTGTCAACATCAATAACTCGTTTGATCTCTTATGATTCACGAACATCTCACGAGATATCTTTTCCTTCCTCCCCTGCTCTACCCGTTTAACGGCTTCTGTCACTTTCTCTGGGACCACCCCTGCAGCCGCGCCATTTTGCTTGTTACGTCTCTTACTCGCCACATCTTTTGTCTCACGCACAAATCGTACATTAGTGGTGGTAGCCTTAGCAAATGGTACGTTCTCCAGGACCGAAGATGCAGGGATTGCATTATCCTCTATTTCTTTAGTTAAATTATATTGATTATTTTCCACGTCAGCTAGAATTTCGAACCTCGTCCCTGAGCTTGGTTGCCGGAAAGCTCCCCCTGCCTTCTCTTTCCCCCTCCTTTGTCGCCGGTTTTTTTGCACAACCTTCCATACTTCCTGATCATTATCCCCAGCTCCATCAATATCCATTCTAGCTTTTTGTACACCCTCAGCGCCCCTATTCTGGTTGCTGTCATTTTGCTCTGTAGATTTTCTCGATGGACATGTCTCGTTGCGATGCCCATATACCCCGCAGTTCAGACAAAGAGCGTGGAGCCCTTCATATTCTAAGTAGTAGTCCTCACCATCGATTGAGAAGCCTGACATTAGTTGTTTACCCAAATCAACCATTACACATATTCGTGCATAATGTCCTCGCAGCTGGGAAGAAGTATTAACATCAACTTTGATTGTTTCCCCTATCCTGTTCCCAATAATAGTGAGAGCCTCCTCATCATAATACTCTAATGAGACCCTTGGCAAACGAACCCAGACAGCCACTTTATCTATTTTAGCTTTTGCAGGATTGAACTTAGGCTCCCATGGTCTTACTGTCAAATAATGATCATAGATCATCCATGGGCCTCCTGTTAAAGCATTAAAATAATCCTCTCTATTTGATAATTTGACTACAAAATAGCCATAGCCAATGTTAATCAAACTGATGATTCCCCGTTTAGCCCATAATGCTTGGAGTCTAGTTTCCAGCGCTTTATAGCCTATATTGTGATCTAGGAGTTTCACAATTACTGCCTTCTTCCACGCCCTATAGAGACGTTTTCTCAATCTACCGGAAAAATGGAATGTAGGAAAATTTCTCTTCGGGTCTTCCCTTATTCTCACTAAAGGTTCTCTCTTATCAGCTTCTGTCTCCGACTGCGGTTCAGACATATTATCATCAGAAAGATCATCATTCTCATCCCTGTCATCATCAGAATGGTCATCCTAGTTGGTAACACCTTTCAGTTTCTCAGCAAATGTCAGTCCTGTTTTATTAGCAGGAAACTGGGTAGTCCCAAGCTTTGGCCATTGGTTCTCGTTTGAGCAGTCTCCTTGTTCCATAGCATTATTTTTTATCTTCTTTGAGCTCCTCACAAGCAGATCATTTTCCTCGGTAGAGAGAGGAGCACGAGCTAAGCTTTTCCCAGCAGGAACGAGCGCCATCTTGAATTACCTCAAATGTGCAGTCATGTACCAGGGAAAAACAATGCGCGCTCCATATAAGTTATCTAGTTGTTTTACGCAGTTCTGCTATTGTCAAATTAATATGAATCCTGGTACAAACTATGGGGTTAAAAAGGCCCAACAAAAACGGAAGGAGACTGGGTGGGATTGAGATGCCAAGCTTTTGGGTCTCATTGTCTTACCCAATAAATAAATAAATAAATACAAAGCTAACTTTTTACCAACAAAATATGAACCTTATACCATAAAACGAGCAATGCCATACGTACTGAATACTGCTTACAACATGACTATAAAGTGAAGGTAGCCAGAGATGAGGGGAATGTGCAGCCAGGCGAAGGAAAAAAAAATTCATAATGAACATATAAATAAACAAGTTAGAATGACTTCTATAAAAATAAATTATAAAAATTGTTTGCAATGGTTTGTTTACATTAAAAAAAAAATCTTTGATTTTGGACACACTAATAAGGAGGATAAATTAAACAGTATGAAGTCTTATAAAAAAAAGAAAAATTCACAAAAATAAGATAAAGAAAAATTAAAGAGAATATTCAATAAAGTTATTGATATGATTTTTTTATCAACAATCTATTCAAAAATTTGGGCATTAATAAAGTTTAATTACATCATGCAGTCAATGTAGTTAATCTTATAAGAATTTGTGGTTATTGTTGTTATGGAGAAATAAGAGATTTATATTTTAAATAAAAAAATATTTATATTAAAATTCAAGAATTGCGAAACAGATTAAAATTATTCAATAATACGTTTTTTTTTCCTGTGAACATTGGATATCGCATTAAATACAAGACAAATCTCCAAAGTGTTCTTCATGTCACGAAGCTCTTGCCTCTTACACTATGTTTGGTACAACGTTTTTGGAGGGAAGGGGGGAGTTGTTATCCTCCCCTTGTTTGTATGGTGCAATTTTTTAGGAGGAGAGGAGAGCAACTCTCCTCTTCTTGTTTGGTTAAGATATTTTTGAAAGAAAGGAAGGGCTCATTTACCCTTTTTTTCTCTTCTAACCTCCCCTCTAAAAGTAGAGTTTTTTGAAAGAGAGATGAGAGATAATATTTTAATTCCTTACATACCTTTTCAATATGTTAACCCCTAATCAGTTGTCAATATTTCTCCATAAAAGAATTCTTTTAAACATTTAGTAAGAGGTTGTCAAGATAATTGTTTCCAAAATTAGTGAGTATTTATAAACCTATTTTTTTTCTCTCTTCTTCTAATTCCAAGAGGCCGTCGGTATTTTCTTTCACCTTCAAGGTCTTTTTTTTTTATTGAAAGCTATCACTCACAACTTTTTATCTTGATATCTTATAAGTGTGTGACTGTGTCTTGTAAATCAAAATTAGTGAATTGTATTATATATATAATTATATCTTAACAAAATAAAAAAAGTGAGAAAATTTATTTAAATTTTATAAGGTCAAAATAGTCAATTTCTTATTAGAACAAAATAAGGTATTATTAAAATTGCTCTCTCACCTCCCCTCCAATCAATTCAAACAAGAGATCATTAAAATCCTTCCCGACCCTCCCTTCCCTTTTGTAGCTACTATTCCCTTTCCTTAATTAAAATCCCTCCTTTCCTTTTCCCTCCCTTAAGCCAAACACAACGTTAGATTTTTTTTTCAAGACAAAAATTTACTACCACAAACTTAAAGCTGATACTAGCATGAACGGCGGTTGGATTGAGTAGAAAAAGACTCTATTTTTCCGAAGATCAGATTGGGAAAAAAGAACTACTATTAACCGAGCATGATAATGTTTAAACAGATTTGATATTACCGAATAGAGAATTTTATCAAATGGGAAGGGCTGTCAGAACTCACAAAGCAACATCTTGTGCACTGGCTGCCCAAGGTCAGGAAATGCGTTATTTACATCATCCATGAATTCATAGATTCAATAGAACATACAGGCAAACCTCCTTCAATTATAGCCAAAAACTCCAAGGTGGCCTCCTGGCTATCAATCAAGCTTGGCTCTCAGGCTATCAGCGTTATGCCCCCTTCTTTATGCGTTAGCTTATGCCTTTTAAGAACCTGCTTCTGTCAAACTCTTCAATCCAAAACAACAGCAAGATGTATATATGTACTTGATGAAACCATAAGTTTCGCTTGTTTAATACTATCAACACATGGGTCCAGCAGTAGAAAAAATTGCTTGTCCCAGGACACCGCGGAGGATGAGAAAGAAGCAACAAAAAATCGATGAAAACTCATGCCACCGAGTCAGCCTGTTTACTGGTCAATCGTGCATATAAACCATCTCTTAAGAGAAGTTCACTGTGACTCCCAATCTGTGTGGATGCAAACAGTTCGGCTTCAGATCAGGGAAAGATAAAGGAAACAGAAATCTCATGTCATAGTTTCTCGCCATCACAAAGGAAATAGTTTGTTTCAGTATATTTCGTGAGAGTTTAAGAAATACTTATTCTTGATGTGAGTTTTATGATTACTTTCCCCAGAAAAATGAAATAATAGATACAAATGAAAGAAATATGGCAAAAGTTGCTGGGTTCATAATCTAATACATAGAACACGTATGATCATCCAGACTAAAAACAGATGATGAGATGATCAAATAAAATAAGCTTCAAAAAGGGACATCAAGGAATAACAGTAAGTAAAGAAGGCGTTGGAAACGAGAGAATTAACTAACCTCAACAATTTTACCGCTATCCATGACCACAATCCTGTCTGCTGCTTGTATGGTAGAAAGCCTGCAAAGCAGGTCATAAATTTCAAATGCGGAATCAAGATAGAATTTAAACGATAACTTCAATAAAAGATGACCCACCTGTGTGCAATTACAATAACACTTCTCATACTCAGGGAGTCATTTTTAACAGAACGAAGAACACCCTGCAGATAAAGGAGACTCAATCATCAATATATCTTTCTCTCAAATTTATGGTGCCTATAGTCTATACTGTCAAGTGGCCTTAGGTAGCATTTGGAAGCAGACCTTGACATTATGCTCACTCTCAGCATCCAGCGCACTTGTGGCTTCATCAAGGATCAATATTTTTGGATCCCTAAGAATAGCTCTAGCAATAGCAATTCGCTGCTTTTGTCCCCCACTTAACAAATCATCATCAACAAGTGTTTCATAGCCATTAGGAAGTGCTGAGATGAAGTCATGGGCATAAGCTTGCTTTGCAGCCCATTCAACATCCTCCTGCTTAATCTCTCGAGTGCATCCATATCTTATGTTTGAACTAATATCCATTCTGAAGAGCTTAGGTTCCTGTACAGACAAAATTTTTAGGGTCAGGAGAAATTAATTTTAAGTCACTGTAATTCCACCATGTTGGCAAATCACTAACCTGTCCAACAAATGCAATTCTTTCTCTCCACCACATGATGTCCAACTCTTTAAGAGGGACGCCATCAACCAAAATCTGCAATCAAACTTAACATTAAAAACGAAAAAGACACACACACACACACACACCCCTTCAAGTAAAAACCATCTACTCAAGTCATATTAATGTAGAGCATAACTGGTCACAAAACAGTTACTACCTAACTAGTTCCCCAGAAACATTAACCAATATATAAAGAAATGACAGAAAAAAGTGACTGAATCTCTTTTTCCCCTCTCTCAGCAACAGCTATTTCATATCACAGATCCTTTTTTCAGCTGTTCCTTTCTAATTCAATGCTAGAAGCGCCAAACTATCCGATTCCCATATTTCTAATATTAAATTTTAAATATGAAGCTAAACTAATGCTACCTGACCATTGGTGGGCTCATATAAGCGGAGCAGAAGGTTCACCAGTGTACTTTTTCCACTGCCACTAAGACCAGCCTATGTAAAAATAAAGGAAATGAGAACTTAATATCTCAGTCATTGTGCAGATGAGGAACCATTAAAAACATTTGAAGTAGTTTCTTACTATGGCAACCACCTCACCAGGTCGAACAGCAAAATTTACATGCCGCACTACAGATACCTGTTACAATGATTGTTCATTAGTTGTGCACCTATTGGTGACAACATGAGTGTTAACCCTATGCATGTGCGCAACAAATTTATATTTAGGAGGAAGACCATGCAAAGGGACAAGGGCTGGCAGAGATATTGTCAAGTCAAGATATTAATATCCATCACAGTAAAAGCATGCTACTCACATCAGAAATTGCATTTTTATTCAAGATATAAGTGATAAAATGAAGATAACGACAACGAATGAGATAGAAGCACCATACAGTCATAAAACTCTCCATCCTCCCCCTCCCTCTTTTTCTCAAAGAAAGAACCTGAACCTGATTTATTTTCAGACGTTTTCACAATTTATATTACAAATACGAGTTGAATCTTCAAAAGAAAATAACATAATTCACAACTTCATGGATTAACAATGCACAAATTATTCCAGCACTACTCATAATGCATTGAAGCAATTGTTTTCAGCACCGAAAAGAGCATCACATGTTTTTGAGAAGCCAAATGAAGATATTATAAAAAGAAGAGCTATACCATTGGCCTTGAAGGATAGTGAAAAGATACATTTATAAATTCAATATTCCCAAGTAACCTCTGCAGCTTTACTCCTGTAACAAAGCCACGTCCAAATTTCAATATCAATTTTACATAACTATGAAAATCTCGGAAGAAACTTGCACCTTCTGCAATACGAGTTTTTCTTATCATTTTATTACTTATACAATGAAAGGTAATCTCCTCATTAAACGTGGCCACCAATCAAAGGAAAAACGCAAAAGACTTGTTCAAAGTTGTAAACATGTGAAGTAGTTGACATGACCCATAACAAGACTTGCCTTTTGCACGGAACTGACTGCTAGGTGAGAGATCCATCAGGTGAAATACTTTTTCACTAGCCCCGACAGATTGCATCAAAGATGATATACTGTCCCCCACCCACCAGGTTGAATAAATAAGCCATTCACTGTATAGTATAAACTTAGTAAGTTTCTCTGCTGTAATATGACCTGCTAGAATAGACATTCCTCCAAACAGCACGGCGATAACCTAAAAGATTAAACGTTCAAATAAAAGCAGAGGTCATGTACAGACTTTGATAAATAATTATGAATGAGGTGGTCCTAGAAGACTTTCTTTCAATGGTGTGATAATATTTTTAGTAGGAAAAAGAACAAGACATTCACACAGTTAGCATTCTCCATATTTGGTGTTGGACCCAAAAAACATCTTTATTAAAAAAACTATGACACATGCCAGGGCTTTAGGTCATTGTCTCTAAACCCAATATTTGCAAAGGCAAATGAGTTCACAAAATTCTTGTTTTAAAAAATATTTTGATGGCCTTGCATTTATTATTTTATTTTGCAGAAAGCTATGCTTATACCTCATTTAAAATGGGGGAGGAGATTCGACTCCAAACAGAATTGAGGAAATACATGAGGGACTATGCTCAAGGTAATTTCACATCCAAGGTGATTTAGCATTCCAGCATGTGAATTTATAACTTTACTTCCCAAAGTGCTTAATAGAAGATTCAGACCCAAATAGTTAAACACAGTTACCGTCTCTCTTTAACTATTGAGTAAACCCCTTTGGATAGAAACATAATTTTTATAGTCGATCCGTGGAGGTTAGCAATCTCTACGTATCCTTCTTTGACCATACTGTGCTTAATGTTTCACTCAAGGGCAAACTGAATGCAAGGCAATCTAAAATTTTGGATTACGTCTTCATAACCTTGCATTTATTTTGTTCTGGAAAAAGTACCCATGTATCCCTACATTAATTGTCAATTCACAAATGACCTAAATAGAGTTTTATCTGTTGTTTCTTAACGTGAAAAAGTGAAGGCATTGTTTTTTTTTTTTTTTTGGGTCAAAAAACCTAATGTAAAGATTTTGTGCTCAAATTGGCTATACCTGAGTTGAATGATAAAGATTATTGAAGCTGAAATTCCAAAATCCATACGCAGCACTTTGTCTCAAGCTTATATCAGCTAACTTTCCCAGCCACCATTTGTACCTGTAGAGAGAGATGGATAATATGCCTATCAAAGTTACTGAACTGTAGAAAATAATGTTTTATTTAATACGTCATAATTCAAGTACGCTCACCTTCCAAGTTCCTCTTCTTCTGTTCCATAAACACGGACAGTTCTAATCAGAGAAAATGTCTCTTGTGCAACCTATGATTCAACAGTGAAAAAAAAAAGGTCATATGCCACTGAAGAAACAAGGGGGAAAATAGTGTAAGGAACTTATTTACTTCATTAGCAGAAGCAGTGACTTCTTGGATCAACTTTGCAGCCTTTTTCTGGTACCTATGCAGACAGACACGACCAAATAACACAAATGATATACAGGAAACAAAGAAAAAGGGAAACACCAGGCAGAGACAGAGGAAGCTAATAAGCTGAGACTCTGATAGAAAATTTGAGGAGACTGAATAAAAAAATTCACCTTCCATAAAGTAGCAAAACTGCTGATAATATAGAGCATATCATCAATGTAAATAAACCAAGTGGCCAAGACAAAAATAACAAGTAGGTCAATGCACCTGTTCCCTGTACAGATGAAAAAACAAATTCAGGGCCCAACAAGGGGGTTAAATTTTTAAAAGCATCGAAACTTCATAGGCAAAGCAACCTGAAGAACGTTGCGCAATATCAAGTTAAGATCATTTCCAATAACACGTGAAACTTGTTGGCAATCAGCACCAAGCCTACTTGTCAGATCACCAACTGTTACATCGTCAAAAAATGATATATCCTATGACAAAAAGGGCACTTCCAAATGAATCAAAAGGACAGTAATGGGGCAAAGAAAATGAAACAGAGAAAGATTAAGATATCAAGTATTGAGGGCAGAAGAACCTGAAGAAGAAGGGAGGAGTATAATGTTTCTCGCATTCTTTTTACCTGCAGATATAATTAATGATTAAACTCCATTCAACGGTAAATATACAGGCGCCAAAGAAGTTTAATCAGACGAGTCAACGAAAACCGGGAGCTAGATTGGACATTATTTAAGTACTGTATTATTAAATTTGAAAAAATATATTGTGCTGTGTCAAGTCTCTTAAAATGAAACTCAGACAATGTAACCGCCTCCTATTTGTCGTGCATCAAGGGAGACATGACGGAAAAACTCACCAGTATCATATTTGCAATTCCAAAACAGCAGCCTCTTATCCCACTGAAGCATATTCCACATGCAAAATGAAAAGTTTCAGATGGATAACTAGTGACAACAACCGTCAAAAAAAAAATAAAAATCAATCTCTCATATGCTGCGATTTGCCTGTGCTTTATTTCACCTGCCTTCAGAACCTTTAAAACATCCGCTTATTCGGCTGTTAATCAGGAATTTTCAAAGAGAACAACTAACCAAGGAGACGAGAAAAAGGTATAGAGAATGATACACTTGAGCTAAGTAGAAGAAGAGCAATTCCATTCCGTTCTTTATTGATTTTATTTAGAGCAGCAAGTGGCATAGAAAAGAGTCATATCACTGTCAGCAGGTAGAAGGGAGATATGACCATACAAGATTTTGACCTGCATATTCCCGAAGTTATACAGAACAGAACCAAGAGAAGCACATGGCGCCGGAAAACTGTAACATCCGCGCTCTGTGCGGAGAAGATAGAAGCTGTTAAGAAATGCGGTATGGAAATCTCCGAAACCTGAAACACAACGAAGGAATAATTGATTTTGACCACATCGTCAAACTAAGTTGCAGAAAGCAGTCAGCATAAGAATAAAATTTGACTGCACGCACCGCTGCAAGAATGAGAGCAGAGAATGCAGAGAAAATAATCCATCGGTCTTGAGCAACAAGTTGCCACATTTTGGCAAGAGCGCGCCACACAGTGACGGGTTTGGCCGAATCTTGAATTTCGACATTTTCGGAGAAGTTCCACCAGCTTCCACCAGGCAAAATCGAAGGAATGAAACTGAACCATCTCCTAAGCCTCTTCAGAAACTCTTTATCTTCTTCTTTTTCTTCACCTAAAGCTTCTGGATTCTTCTGCACAGAAAACCCATCTATGGACGCTGATTTTGGAGGGCTCCCAAGTATGCATCTCCGATTAAAAGAAGGCCTGGACAGAACAGTATGAATTCTAGTATTAACAGTGAAATGGAAGCGTCTACGACAAACTCTGATACAAGGTCTTCTATGATCGTGACGAACAGAAGTTAGTATCAGAGGTTGAATGCCGCCCAGAAGCAGAGCCATTGACGATGGAAAGGAGCATTCCAGACCATATAGAAGTTATGGTGTGAGTTTTGGATAAAGCTCCGAGCTTGAGCGCCTTTAGCGAGGCTTGGTCATCTCAGGCTCCCAGCCATGCACGACCAATCAAAACGAAACGACGCCGCTTCATTTCTGGTGACGTGTTCGGTTTGGCGTGCACGAATTCTAATTCGTGAGTAAAACTTCCAACTGCAACAGTTGCCACACGGCCCTCGCCTCCACCGTGCCACGTTTTCAGTTCTCACTCTCAAAGTCCCCAACGTACTCGCCCAATTCAGAAACCTTTGGAATCCTTAGGGATAGATTCATGGGCATTTTGGTCCTTACGTTTTACACCACCAAAATATCTTCTTGACAGTCTTTTCCATGGGGAACCAATTTTCTCTGATTCTCAACCCTGCCTCCTTCTCCTCCTCTCCTCTCTTCTCTTCTTTGATTCGATGGCCGTCAATCTGGGGAAATTGTCTCTGTTACTAGATGTGGCGTCGCCGCGGGGTGTGATACTGGAGCGGAAGGCTCGAACGGTGGCTCTGGACGTCATTTTGAGCTTGCCCAAGAGAGATTGTCACGCCTACTGCGCTTCTGTTTCATCTAAGGGTTTTGACTACGATGGAGAAGCTCGGAACAGAGTCGTGGCTCGTGGAAAGTCAAATTCAGAGGTAAACGGTGTTGATTTTGATGCGGAGTCTAGTGATGAAGAGAACAACGAGAACGGGCTTGATGAGGAGTCTTATGATTGGGAGACGCAATTGCGGATGAGACTGAAGGAGCTCGAGGAGAGAAGAGAGCTAGAGAAGAAAGCTGAGGAATTGCAGAGTCGGATGGACGATGATGAAGGGGAAGGAGGGGAAGAGACGGAGGAAGAGAAGAGGATGAGAGTCAGAAAAGAGCTTGAAAAGGTTCGATTTTTCTTGATTTGCTTATCTAAGGATTATCAGACTGTACAAAAATTAAATAATTAGACCAGAATCAGCTCTAAGTTGTTGTTCATGGATTTGATGATTTAGGTGGCTAAGGAGCAGGCGGAGAGGAGAGCCACGGCTCAGCTGATGTTTGAATTGGGTCAGAAAGCTTATGGGAAGGGTATGTATGGACGTTCCATAGAGTTTCTTGAAGGCGCACTTACGATTATTCCCAGACCTACATTGTTTGGTGGTGAGGTTAGTTGAGTGTTGCATGTAATGCTCTTTATTTAATGAGCAAAACAAAGCGAGTTGGTTTTCTTTATTGATTTTTTTTTTTTTTTGGGGGAAACTTTCAGATACAGATATGGCTTGCTATGGCTTATGAAGCCAACAACCGCCATGCGGATTGCATAGCTCTGTACCAGCAATTAGAGAAGAAACACCCTAGCCTCAGCATCCGACGTCAAGCTGCAGATCTTCGCTACATTTTGCAAGCACCAAAGCTCAAGATATCCCAAGAGGAAATGGTGACCATACCTTTGATTGGTTCTAGTTATGACAGGTATTTTGATGCTGTCACTTGCCTTATTATTTTTGCATAATTGTTCTTATCGCTATTATTCTCATTTGTTGCTGGTTGCGTCAAAATAACTTCAAATCAAAGCGTACAGGGTTGAGTAAACTTTTTTGATACAGTTTTTCTTCATTTTTCTTTTTTGATACAGTCACATGGTTGAGTAAATGTCCTTGAGTAATTTTGCGTTAACTTAACATGCTTTCTCATGATATGAAAGCCTTTTGGGTTTAATTAGGTTTTCTATAACTTGCACTGACGCTTGATCGATCCGAAAGACTCTGTATAGTGAGAGAGAGAGAGAGGGAGAGAGAGAGAGATCATGGGTGTTGAGAGGGGAGGTGAGTCATGTACGCAGTCATACTCTTTTTTGTCATTTTCACTCTCATTGCATGAAGGATTCAATTTGAAAACTATATACGATTAATGAAAAGAATGAATGATGGCAATTATCAAATTCCTGACCATTTGGTTATTAATGGTTACGTTAGAGTTCAATGATTAACTTCTGTTCTGAACATCCCAGTCTGTGAAGAACCCTTGCCAATTGTGGAGGGAGAGGGGGTTGGCCAGAGCCACACCCCCCCCCCGCAAAAAAAAAAATTCAAATTTTTTCTTCTGATTATAATGCAAGTGTTACACAACTCTGTACCAACTTCATACTTTAAGCCTGGTTCCGCCCTGTGGTCTATGGTGTCAGTTGAAGGAAGGCATTGTTGTCTGAGAACCTTATAACTGGGTACATGTAGTTATGATGCATCCCCTTCATATAACATTTGTGACTCTGAGCAATTCAAAATCTTGGATAAATTTGATGTGTGTATGCCATGACTGTAGCTATGCTGGAACATGGAGTGATAAATACAAGGACAAGGATAAGAATAGAAGCGGGACAGTGACCAATCAGCTTCCATCAACGAGAGACTATCTGGCAGACTTCCTTGTATGGCGGCCGCCGGTAGGATTGGAGAAAAATCGAGCCTTCTGGGTTGGTCTGACAATATGGCTGGGATTAGTTGGAGCTGCACTCGTTCTTCACAGATGAATACGTATGCAGTTTGAATTGCACGGCTTGTGATGTATTTATTCAGAATATTTTGTAAGGTTCTGGTTCTTGCATGTTGTAAAATTATTGTATGTATATGTAGTATCGAGTATATAATTTAGTGAAGTGGCTAAAAGTATATATTTTATTAAAATTTCCTCTTCATGAGATTATTGTTAAGGGCATTTTTCATAGTATTGTGTTTAGGTGCTTCTTAACGTGAAATCAAGCCCGTATTTAGTTGATGAATTTTTTAATTTCGATTGGACTAGTTTGTGCTGTTCCGATCTAGCATTGGGCTGATTGTCTCCCTCGCAAATATTTGCTTCACCGAACATTCTTTAATCAAGTTTTGTTGTCTCCTATACAATTCTAAAACGAATATTTTGTTCCCCAAGCCTACTTCATTTGAAAATTTAGGCCCGCCCTCCTCCTCTTATGTACGGCAGGTGGAGGTTACGGAGGATGAGATAGTTTTGTTGCCTTGTGTTCCTTGTTTTTTGAGTTAGCTATACAGTTCATATTAAAAAAAAAAAGAAAAGAAATTTAGGGTTTGTTTGGTTGGAGGGGAGGGGAGGGGAGGGGAGGGGAGCCCCTCCCCTCATTTGGTTAAAAATTTTGGAGGGGAGGGAAGGGGAGCTAAAATGTCCCCTCCTTTCCCTCCCTCCCTCCCCCCATTTTGACTCCCCTCCAAATGGAGATTTTTGGAAGGGAGTCAAAATTTTGGACCAATATGCCTTTATATTTTTTTAATATTTCATTTTTACCTATAAAATATATTATTATAATATTTATTTTAAATAAAAAATATATTATCCTAAGTAAAAAAATAAAATATATATACATTATTATAATTAAAAATATATTATAAAAATTATTTAAAAATAAAAAATTATTTAAATAAAAATTTATAATATTATAAAATTAATTGTTTTTTATAAATATATTATTTATTAAATATATTTTAAAGATGGAAAAAAAGATAGCCTAAAGAAAATAAAATTTCATTTTTCTTAGAGCATATAAAATTTGTTAATTTGATTATTTTAAATATATTATTATATTAATTAGAATAAAAAATTACTGTACCGATTTTTTAATACACATATTAACATGATAAGACTGAATTTTTATTAAATTATATGATTTAAATTAAGATGTAAATTAATTTATATAATATATCAATAAAAAACATAAACTAATATGTAAGGGTAAAATGGTAAATTGATTATTACTATCCCTCCCCTCCCCTCCTTGAACCAAACAAGGAATCATTAAATACTCTCCCCTTCCCTCCTTTTTAATCAAACCAAACAAGGTGAGAATGAAGCCTCCCCTCCCCTCCCCTCAAAGCAAACAAGCCCTTAGGCTCCTATCTTTATGCTATGATTGGATGGAGAGAAAATAAGGGATGAAAGAAAACTAGGAAGGAAAATAGGAGGAAAAATGGTTTTTCTTCTGTTTGGATGAAAGAAGAAAAGTAGGAGGAAAGACAAGTTGAGGAGAAAATAAGGCGGGTATCATAACCTATTTTCTTTCCAACTTTTCTCTTCATATATAAAGAGAAAATAAGAAGAAAACATATTTTTTTTCTGTACCATTACATATGTTTTTTCATCAAAATAATACTTTTTATTTTATTTTTTTACTTTATTTATTATTATCAAGTCTCTCTTCTGTGTTTGCTTGATTAAAAAATAAAATAACTAAAATTGCAAAAATCTTTTTAAAATGAACTGAAAGGAAAAACAAGTAGAGTTGTTGTTTTGGTTTTTTTTAGCATTACATTATACAAAATGTTATTTTTTTTCTTTTTTTACAAAATTATTTGATATTAAAATATAATAACATGATAATATATCTTTATCAAATAATTTGATTTTAAATTATATGATTATGTTAATGTAAATATGGTTTTTCATTATGATATTTAATTTGATTTTAATCAAGATATATTTTGATATAATAGAAAGGGTATTTTAGTCATTTATATATTTACTCATTTTCTTTCCTTTTTGTTTTCTCTTGTCCATCTAAATATGAGAGGTGATAATATTTTCTCTCCTCTCATTTTCTTTCCTCTCAGCTTTTCTTCCTATCCAAATAGAGGGTTAGTAAAATTGCAGATCCGCTGCCACTGAGAACATTAACTCCAAACCTGTCCCAACCAAAGTAGACCGGATACCGGGGTGTTTGGCAACATCAATAAGTGCTTTTAAAAAGTATTTTTTTTCTAAAACGAAACAATCTTCTTCACATATTTACTTTGTATATTGTAAAAGCATTTTTAAAATAATAGTTTGGTTTTTATCCAAATACTCCTATAGTATAATCAAAGAAATTTGTTGCTATCCTTTTAATCAAACAAAGCTTAAATAGGCTCTTGAAGACGAGGAAAAAGCAGAATAGCATTATTTAGTAGAAATTTCATCACTAGTTTAGATTACCTCTTACTTATAAAATAAACATGAAAAGAAGGGCCGTTTTCGTCTACAGTAATTAAATTAAATATTTATACATTTTTAAAATATACTGACTCTCGTTATTTTTTTCCTACACCAGTCTCCTTATGATTATAAGTTTCTGGCCCAAGAAAATAAGGTTCAGGCCCAAGTAAATAGTCAGTCCATGGGCTCCAATAACGAAATTTTATTTTTCCAGTTCTGCCCTTGTCTTCTGAAACCTAGAGGCAGAATTGCTAACAAATCCAACATTTCCATTCCATCTAAATAAATAACTGAAACCCTAACTCAGCAAGTCCTCGGGCCGCCGTTACCTGCTGGGGGAGAAGCTTTTGCTGAGAGAGACAGATCGGAGATGACGACCCGCTTCAAGAAGAATCGTAAGAAGCGTGGCCACGTGAGCGCCGGTCACGGTCGTATCGGCAAGCACAGGAAGCACCCAGGTGGTCGTGGTAATGCTGGTGGTATGCACCACCATAGAATTCTCTTCGACAAGTATCACCCTGGTTATTTCGGGAAAGTAGGTATGCGCTACTTCCATAAGCTTCGCAATAAGTTCTACTGCCCTATTGTGAACATCGACAAGCTCTGGTCATTGGTTCCTAATGAGGTCAGAGAGAAGGCCTCCAAGGACAATGTTCCCTTGATTGATGTTACTCAGTATGGGTACTTCAAGGTTTTGGGTAAAGGAGTTCTGCCGGAGAACCGACCTGTTGTGGTGAAGGCCAAGCTTGTTTCCAAGAATGCGGAAAAAAAGATCAAGGAGGCCGGTGGGGCTGTGGTTCTTACTGCTTAGGTTCTGGATACTTTTTCTGTTCATTAGAATTTTGTTTCTCTGTTGGTAGTTCCTTTGGAATTGATTGAAATTTAAGCTTTGATCTATTCGAACTCGTGTCAAGGTAATGCTTTTGGTTTTCTTTTCCCTCAATCCCGCGCTTTCCTAGTTCTCTGAGTTTCTTACTGTTGATCACATCTTTAATATTATTCTCTATGAAATGGACGATTTTTTACTTTTGATTCAGAAGTTGATGTGCGTAGTGACAATAAATCTTATAGAACTTGGGTGCTATCCCCTGAACCAATCACGCAATCCTTTATCATTTTGCTTTACCCTCGATGTTGTTCAGTTGTGAGCTCACCGGTTCTCATGATATTCGATTGGATTGGAATTTTCATGTAATGCAGTATTTTCCCCGCAGCTCATACTAGTTTTAGTCAGTCATCTATATAACGATATATAGTGTAAAAACTTCAACAAAATGAGCAATGAACCTCATTTTTCAGATTTCATGCAATGGACTGACACTAATTTTTGCGAGGGCAGAATCGTTTCTGTTTGATTTGTTTAACGATGTTGCCTTTGCTTCATGTACACATTTAAGTCCAGTGAAGAATTATACTGGTTGGGTTTGTTCATTCTATATGATTAAAAGGATTAAGATAAGGTGGACAAAGTTTCCGTTTTCTGATGAAGACATTATGCTGTGGCTTCTTTCAGCGAACTGCGGAGGAATGATCCGCTTATTTGTTCTGTGCCTGAATGAAGAATAATTCTATGTTATTTTTGTCCTCATAATTCAAGAATTTGCTATGCCATGATCCTGGTGTTCATGTCAGGTATCTTCTTCTTTTTGGATAAACATGTTGTGCTGTGCTATCTATGCCTCTGTCGTAGCTATACTTTATGATGTATTTGAGTGACTTGTGTGAATGAAAATTCCCAGGACAATGATTTTTTTCTTTAGAGTCCACTGGTATGCCGGCAGTATAAAGGGCATTTAGCAAGTAAATTGAATGTGGTCACCGGGAGATAAATAAGAAAATAGAGTTTGGAAGATGATACGGACAAGGGCAATCGAGAGATCCATTCTATTCCTAGTTGCATGATAAATGGCGTGGAATCGCGTTTAAATAGTTTATAACTGACACTAGCCAAATGGGGAAGTCATTATTTATTTTGAGAAACAAAAATAAGCTTTTGTGATGCAACATCAATAATGTCTCCAACCAAAAATAAATGGCCAGATAACCTGCAGCTGAAGATGGCTTTGCTTTAATTTTCATTGATGGGTCTTCTCCGCTCCGCTTCTGGGTTGAACCTTATGCCCATCCATTTTTTAGGGGATATTTAGTTTTACTTCTTAAAAATGATTTTGTATGGCATAAGATTGATATTTCCCCCTAAATCCTATATTTATCAAGAGATGCCTGCGATTTTATACCAAACTCGGCCATCAAAATTTGAACTAGTTCATCATGCGTAGTGCCTTGTTCTTCATTTTTAGGGTTTGCTTTAATACAATTTAAGTCCTCCAACAAACTAAGCAAGTCGTATGACATAAATAATATGGCTCGTCGCTCAAATTTCATCCGGTTTCCAGTAATCATGCAAAATCTAAATCACCTCTATTCTATCTATTCCGGCTATGAAGACAATAAGGCAACTCATTTCTCATACTTAGCCTTTGAGACTTGAAGTCTCTATTTTCTTCAATTTTTTATTTCAGAAAAGTATTTACTTGTGATTTAGTTTTTGAAAATCTTTCTATTCTTTCAGAGAATTTTTAAGACTCCTGCCAAAAGGATTATGATAATTTACTCATTTCAGACTATTTTTTATACTTTTAAACTCAAAATTAGAATGTTACAACTGAAGCTCTGTCTTGATATTTGTAACATGGTTGCTGACATCATTCTGGTTCATATGCCCTGCAGATCATTCATTTAAAAAAACTGTATCTCTACTCTTTTCCCTCTTTTATGAGGAAAATGAATATGAGGGATGCATGATTTATATAGTTGACATTGACATATGAGGACTTCAAATACTAAAATCTCCTTTAAGGATTTTAGAACTATCAGTTATATTCTGCAACGCTATGACTTATTCTTCTAGGTTTCAAGATGGTTTTTTATTTTAATTTAGGCATCCCCCCGGAGGGGGGGGGCATGAGGGAATTGAATGTATGTGCAGTTCATTTCAAATTTTCACTTGCAATTTTGTAATTCTAAATGACCCAGATCCTTTATTTAAAAGGGAAAAAATCTCGAGGTAGAAACAAATTTAAAGCGTTTATGTAACACAGAAGATCAGGTCAAAATTAGAGATTGGGAAGAATAACTTTAGAAAACTGATTCTTTTTAATGCTTCAATAGCAACACCTGAAAGAACAGCTTGAATGGTGTTGAGGGAGTTCTGGGCGATAAAGCTGAAAATGGTGGGCCGGCGAGGAGAGGTACCAGAGCTTCTTGAACTCGATGGAGAACTCTGAAGAAATCGGCGCGGCCATTGATGGAAGGAATGTCATCGGAATCCGCCGCAAAATGGGTGGCGTGCGAGGGGGCTCAGCGGGCAAAGGATACTTGGGAAGACTCCATGACCTTCAAGGATTGGGCTATATTGCATGAAACCAAACCCTTTCCCGGCTAAATCTTCCATGCTGAGCAAAAGCTTATTTGTATATTTTAAGAAAGAGTATGACGCAAAATGTGTGTGTGAAGTTTTATGTCGTCATCACGTTCACACATGTGTGGACTATAAACAATCTGAATTAAGTTCATTCAACCTATTTATATGAATAATATTGCTTTAGTAAACAACCTCAATCAAATGAATACGTGGCACGATAAAAAAATTATGTAAAATAAGACAGTTGATAGACAAAAATACACATGCATTACCAATTCTCATTGATGCTAGTTATAAGGGCTCCTGTTTCCTAAAGAAGTTACTGTTGATTCCATTTCTAACTCTTCTGCATAGGCCATAGAGTAAACTTAAGAGGTGTTTGGTTAAAATCATAATCATAATTTTAAAAGTACTTTTACAACATATAAAATAGATATATAGAGGAGTTTGCCTTAATTTGTAAAAAAAATACTTTTTAAAAGTACTTCTTAAGCAATCCAAACACCCCATTAGTTAGAAGTGGTTTGTCCTAAGTGTCTTGCATTCTAAATAAAATTAGTCTCTATTATTCACAGGCAATACTCCTCGTCCCGTGAAAAAGGAGGAGGAGAGAACATACAAACTTATGTCAACATGAACAACTTGATTTTCAATTCCTGCCAGTATATCCCTTTATTTGAGCTGTCTATAGTCTCATTTGGCTTATTTTTAACAATATTTTTTCAGTTGTAATCCCTTTTTTATTATTATTTTCTTTTAATTTCTTGTTGCCAGTTATTAGTTCTCGCAAAATAGAGACAATACGAGTTTTTTTATTGATGAAGCTGCGAGCGCGTATGTCGAGAATTAACAAATTAATTTATAGTGGGTTTCTAGAAAACTACTAAAACGACTTGACGTTCTCTTGCATCTATTCAATCTATTATGTCAATGTTATCCCATTCATCATGATGAGTTGGCGTGATTACGATGTTTTAAGGTTCATCCCACTTGGCAACACAAGCAAGAATTTAAGGTTGGTTTTGTCACATAATTAGTTTTTACATATGATTAGATTAGATTTACATTCATATTAGATTAGATAGATTAGCACCTTTTTTTCAGAAAATTATTTTGAGGATAGGATGAGCTAGTTAGCCGTCATAAACGCAATCATGATGGGAATGGGGATTATGTGTCTTAAAGTCCCAACAAAGCGGCAGCAAAGTGCTCCATCGAATATTGTCGTTCATGTGATTTTGTTTGTCGTTTTTGCAGCGGGCAGACTGGCCCTCTCAAGCGGGAATGTTCTAGTTGTTTAGCCGGGCGCCAGCCTTCCAATCTTCCAGACGCATCCTCCTACCTTTTTAAGATTGGATACTCTCTCTCCTGTATCCTCAATATATATAAACGTCATGTAACTTTTTTTTTCTAAATTAAAAGTTAATTAAGTTAATTATTCGAGTATTATCTTCTCAAAAATATTATTATTAATCATATTCATTTGAACTACTTTTAATGAAAATTATTAATATACACAATCATATTACTTGAGAACAAAATAAACAAATATAAATGACAAAATGAACTTAGGCCTTATGTCTAGAGCATAATTGAATCTACAAATAGTTATCATATTAAGCGCGAGAGGCAGTGCATATTAAGTTTTAAGTTAAACAAAATCATTTTTTAAAAAATAATAAATACATCAAAGAAAATGAATTTATGTCTCGTATTTAAAATAAAGTACAATTATTTACTCTCTCCGTTCCTTATTATAAGAGACAAATAACCGAATTACGTTGATAAAAAAACAGTTAAAATTAGTTAAGAACAATTAATGTGTAAAAAATATAATTTTTTCTCAAAAATGCCCTCATTAATAAGGAGAGAGAGCATGAGAAAGAACAATTAAATTATTAAAAGAAAGAGAAGTAGGAGGGAGAGAGAGTGTGAGTTGGAGACAATAAATATGGGTAAAATAGGAAATCAACACAAAAAAGTAGAGACAACTTTTAAGTGTCTCTTATATATAGGAACATGCTATAAGCATCAAATGTCTCTTATAATAAGAAACGGATGGAGTATTTAGTTGCTATATTTTGTTATCTCCACGTAGGCGCGTGCGCGCCCAAAGCCTCCTGCCTTTTTTTTTTACTTCCATTTTCTTGAAAATGTAAATATTTTTTAGGAAAAATAATAAACAAAAACCCTTGAATATGTGAAATCACGGTTTAGATTTGTCAATCTCAAATAGAAATTATGAAATATTGGTTAAAAGATAGAAATGCCCTTCTGCTTTTCATATCCTCTTCCCATATCCATTTCTCAATCTCTCTTGTCATCTCTATTTTCATTTGCTCCATCCTCCCCAACTCATCTCTTAAAACCTTAATTGCACTCATTATTTTTTCTAAGAGTGTTCACGGGACGGATCGGGACTGGGACACGCCCGTCCCGATTCCGTCCCGATGAACAGTAACGGGACTGATTTTCTGTCCCGTGTCCCGGCCCGTCCCGAGGTTGTCCCAGTCTCGGTCGGGACGGGACGGATCTGGGACGGGACGTTCCGAGATTATTTTTTTTATTTTTTTAAAAAAATCTGATTTTTTTAATTATATTTTTTTGAGCTTAAATCTTATAAAAACATCTTTTTTATTTGTTTGGGCACTCTTAAACAAAAGCTCAAAATATTACATATAATAGTCATTAAAAACTCTAAACAAAAGCTTTTAACACAAAAAAACTTGCTAAAAATTCTAATCATCAATAATCTCAATCATTAACAATATAAAAACTCTAAATAAATATATCCATAGTTCTATATGTAACATCCTAAGTTTTACCGGGTCTTAATAGCCTCTTTTGGGTTGATTTTGAGGATAGATTAGTGATTTAATCTTGATCTTGGTGTTTGGGTTGGATTTGAGGTTGGTTGGAGGCATAGGTGAACGTACCCCTCTCAGGGTATGTTCGCCGCGGCGAAGTAACTTCGCCGCGGCGCACCGGGAGTTTCAGAGGGGAGTGTCTTCTCGGGAAGGTTTGGCCGCGGCGAAGTCTGGGGTACGCCGCGGCGAAGTTGTTCTGGTGAGCGAGGCTTCCCTTTCGGGAAGGTTTCGCCGCGGCGAAGGTTAGGGCACGCCGCGGCGAAGTTCTTCTGGGCGAGCGAGAGTTTCCTCTCGGGAAGCTTTCGCCGCGGCGAAAATTGGGGTTCGCCGCGGCGAAGTCAGGTTTTTAGGCGAGTAATCCCTCTCGGGATTAGTTCGCCGCGGCGAAAGGTCGCGATTTTATATAATCGCTGGAGGGTTCAGTGTTGCGAAAATTAGAAAATCTGAAGGAGGAGAGAGGAGCTCTGCTAGGGTTTCGGTTTTGAGGCTTGGGAAAGACATTTCTAAGGATCCATTACCTCAAGTAAGTGATTTTAACCTCTAATCTTCTTTCTTTCTTAGAATTACTTGGAATTTCTGAGGATTTTTAGTGGAACTCTAGGTTTTTCTAAGTTATGATGGAACTGAGGTTTTTGACCGATTGTTTTGAGTTTAATTGATTGCATTGGGTTAGTTTAAGTATTTAATCGGTGTAGTTTCCTTGGATTTAAAGAATCTTGAGTTTCGGAGTTAGGGTTTATGGAATTGGATGATTTGGGATTGAGGATGATAATGTAGAGATTGATTTTGAGTTTTGTGAATTGGGTTATGTTAAGGAGGGTTAAATTGGATGTTTAATCGGTTTAGATTTGTTGTTGGAACCTTAATTGTTCAAATGGGTTGTTGGAGTGTTGCCTTGATAGTTATATCCCCTTGAGTTGGGTAGAGTTTTGATGGGAGATAGGAATTTTGTGTCCCCAAGTGTGTTTTTGGCCACATTATTAGTTTGAAAGCTAATATATGATGGTTGTGTGTTTGTGTGCTTGTGTAGACTGGTTGTGAGTCTTGGTGGTGCACGGGGCCACATCGTTGGTTTGTTATTCCTTGCTCAGGCGAGAGGTAACCACTTTCCAATCCTTAGTACTTGCTTCTGTGGTATTGTGAGTAGATTTATGTTTTGTGCTTTAAATAGAAATTATGTTCGAACCGTATGTTGTGTATAAAAAGGGAAAACCGTCTTGTGGGGGTTTGGACTTATGATGAATGAAATTGTGGAATTGTGAAAGATATGCCACTGAATGAGATTAATTGTGAAGTGATTATTACTCTTGATTATGATTTGAGCATGATGCATTAATTGGGAAATTTGGTGAGAGTTGTCTGTTACTACCACGTGGTAAGGCCTCCATTAATGCATGATGGTTGGCTCTTTACGTCCCCCATAGTGAGGGATAGGCCTTCGGGCTCATTACGTCCCCCAGAGTGAGGGATAGGCCTTTATGGCTCCTTACGTCCCCCATAGTGAGGGATAGGCCGGGTTCGGCTCCTGAAAATCCCCCAAAGTGAGGGATTTGGTTGATGGGATTGCATCATTGCACTGGCATAAATTGTTGTGGCTATCATTATGTATTATTTGTGAACTGCCCCACTTGACACCTCACGAGCACCTATTTAGTAGTACCTAGTATTGGAAAGGTTGGTTACTGGGACTTTGTCTCACCCCGTGGTTTACAATGTTTTCAGGAGAAGGTTCTAGGCGAGCACCTTCGGGAAGAGACGCAGAGGCTTGAGCTGGGTTAGCTTTAGGCCTCTAGCTTTATTATGCATGGATAGTTGTATATTGCCACAGCTAGGGTTTTCTTGAAATATTTTGATTTCCCGGCCTTATTGTAAACTGGAGAATATATTACCTACTCGTTTTGTTGGCCGGAGGCCATTCCTATTACTTTATGAAACTTTGTTATTCGTGCTTGAGATCAATTGGAAAGGGGCTGATTTTGATGTATGTCGTTACCCGGGCCGGAGGCCCGGAGGCCCAGTGATTGTGATTGAATGATGATAGTTGCATGCAACTGCGTTTGAGAGGGAACCAAGTTTTAAATGTAAATTTTCTAAAATTACGCAACCTCTTTCTACTATGGTAGTTGATGTACATTTTTCCTTTTTCTACCATAGTAGTGGTCTTATGAAAAGTATAAATGTTTAAGGAAGAGGGTTTTTACACTATACAATAGTCTCAAATCTTAAAAAAATATGAAAAAAATGATATTATATAAAAAATTAAAAAAATTAAAAAAAAGAGGAACCGGGACAGGACCGCGACGGGACGACCCCGTCCTGTCCCATCCCGGTCCCTTTTTTGTCCCGTCCCGAAAAATTTCGGGACGGATTCGTCCCGTCCCAATAAGACCGGGACGGGCCGGCCTTGAACACCCCTAATTTTTTCTACTGAATGTCTGGATCCCTCTTTCTCTACCCCCAATCTTCCCCAATCTAATTCTATGTTTCAAAATTGTCTTCCTGCAAGAGAGATAGAACACCACTGACAAAACCAAAGGATACGACTGAATGTAAGAAGAAAGAGAGGATAACCCTTCTTCAATCTTTGAAGGTGAGAGATGGAATGAGCGAAAGGAAGAAGGACACCATTATCACTATTTGTCTCCACCTTCAACACAGAACCAAAGAGGACGTTGTGGAAGCTAGATCATGAAAATAAGATTTATGAACCTAATAAGTAATGTAAATCAGTTATATGTTGTAATAATATAGAGCTATTTAATGTTGTATACTTAATCAAAAAAGTGGTGACAACAATGCAGTGACAAAAACACAGAAATTCTGTCATTTGAACAGAGAAAATTAAATTCCTATAAATTGCTTATCAGAAGTTGTCATTCGCTTTATTGAACTTGTCATGAATTGTTTATTAAAACTTGTCATCTGCTAAAAAAATCTAAAAATTGTCATTTAAACATAGAAAATTAAATTTATATAAATTACTTATCAGAAGTTGTCATTCGTCTTATTGAACTTGTCATGAATTACTTGTTACATCTGCCAAAAAAATCTAGAAATTGTCATTTGAATAAAGAAAATTAGATTTGTATGAATTGCTTATCAGAAGTTATCATTTCTCTTATTGAACTTGTTATAAATTGTTTATTAGAACTTGTCATATGGTAAAAACAAGTTTAATAAAGCAAATCATGACTTCTTATAAAATTTTAAGAAAACTATAAGCGGCCCATACGAATCTAGAGATATTTTTTATTTCACGCGCATAACATAGAACGGTGATATATTATTCTTTTCAATAATAAATGTTATTTTTTATATAAAAAATAATTCAAAATTTATAATGTACGTGACAAAATTTAAAAAATTATTGCAAATAGAAGAAATGCATACGACTCACCCATAAAAATAAATTCTAGAACTCACAACTTAAAAATTGTTGTTTCACCCAAAAAAAAATTAAAAATTGTTTATCATCATATTTCTTTCATGAAAAGAACTCATACGAAGCACAACATATGATCAAACATGGATCATATTTATAAGATCTTATTTATAGACTATAATAAAGTCTTATAATTAAAACTAAAAGTAATAAAATTTGAGAAGATATTTAGCATTAATTAGCACAAGTAGCCAGACAAAAAATTACCTTACAATGCATGAATAATCATATTTACTAAACGTGATTGAGTTTAGTAAAAGAGGCTAATACTCATAAACTAATTAATGTTCAAATTCTTGTAGAAAAAAATACTTATATTTAATGTTAGACAATATCTTTAACATGATTACTTTTAATATGAGGGTATCTACGTATGGAAAATATATAAGACGATAGAAAAATAATTATAACATTTTATTTTATTTATACTGATAAGTAGCTTAATTTAGCGAAATAAATGAAAAGCGAAAGTCTTCGAAGGGGATAACGAGTCTTCTTTCCTGGCCACCCAGAAGCGTTGAGTCTTGAGAGCACGCTCTTCCTTAGCAATACCAGTAAGTTACGTAGGAGTCAAACTGACGCTTCTTCCTCCGTTACCTCCCTTGAACCAATCCCACGCGCGCCGGCTTCTTTCTCCCTTCAAACTACTTTCCGAAACACACATGTCAATGTTGTTATGTCCGTTCACGACAAAAAAACATGCGAACCAGAAGAACAGAGAATTATTATCGACTTGAGCCAGAAGAAATAACACCACCCCACTTCTGGCCTCGCATGAAAGGCAGCTCTGATACACACCCCCTCCACAGAGATTACAGGAATTTCTTACCTTTTCCTTTCCTTCCCTCTTCCAAGATCACGACCAGTAAACGGTTGGGTTGACTCGGTGGCTGACTCATTGACTCGACGGAGGATATGGCATCGGAGAATCAGCGAATCGAAGACGAGCTCTCCTACCCGATTCTCCTGGCGGAACGAATCCGAAAGGCTGTCGACGAGGCCGAATCCTTCAAATTTGAGTGTTCCGAAGTGTGGAAGCAAGTCGATCGTCTTCTTCAAATGCTTCGAACCCTGGTTCGCTTCGCCAGCACAACCCCTTCGCTCTACGAGGTACCAATTCGGCGTGTGGCCGCTGAGTTGTCGAAAAACCTCGAACGCGCCCTTACCCTAGTCCGAAAATGTAAGCGACAGAGCTTTCTTCGACGGGTTGTGAACATTGTTAGCACCGCCGATTTCCGGAAAGTTCTTAACTATCTAGAAGCTTCTGTGGGCGACATGAAATGGCTTCTTAGTATCTTCGACACCGACGGCACCGGTTGCGGTGGGATTGAGCTGTCTCTTCCTCCGATTGCCAGCAACGACCCGATTCTCTCGTGGGTTTGGTCGTTCATCGCTTCTATCCAAATGGGTCAATTGAATGATCGCATTGAAGCTGCGAATGAACTAGCTGCGCTTGCTCAAGATAACGATAGGAATAAGAAGATTATAGTTGAAGAAGGTGGGGTTCCCCCATTGCTGAAGCTTTTTAAGGAAAGCACACTTCCAACTGCTCAAATTGCAGCTGCTAGTGCGTTATGTCACTTGGCAAACGATCTTGACAGAGTTAGGACGATTGTGAACGAGCTAGGAGTTCCAACTGTCGTGCAGGTTCTTGGAGATTCGCCGATGAGGGTTCAAATTCGAGCCGCGAATTTGGTGGCTAGAATGGCAAAACATGACCCTGTTGCCCAGGAGGATTTTGCCAGGGAGAATGCAATTAGGCCGCTTGTGACATTGTTGTCTTTCGATACTTTTGATGATGATCATACCGGTCAATTGGGTAAGCAGAGTATTCATTCTATTATGCAAATTAACAAGGAATTGGAGAAAAAGTCAATGGTTAGGTCAAGCAATCGCCCGCTTACGAGTTCACATTCGAATTCATATTTGCATATGGAGGGAAGTAGCCGGGCGGGGAATCACAGAAAGGAGAGGGAGAATGAGGACCCTGAATTGAAGCTTAAGTTGAAGGTTAGTTGTGCCGAGGCTTTGTGGATGCTTGCCAAAGGAAGCGTGTCAAATAGCAGGAAAATAACTGAGACAAAAGGGATGCTTTGTTTGGCGAGGTTGGTTGAGAAGGAGCAAGGAGAGCTTCAGTACAATTGCTTGATGACAATAATGGAGATTACTGCTGCGGCTGAATCAAATGCGGATCTTCGCCGGGCAGCATTTAAGACTAATTCACCCGCTGCTAAAGCCGTGGTGGAACAGCTCTTAAGGGTGATTAAGGATTTTGACAACCCACTTCTAAAAATTCCAGCCATAAAATCAATTGGTTCACTAGCTAGGACATTTCCTGCACGAGAGACTCGGGTAATTGGTCCTCTAGTAACACAAATAAGTCATAAAATGTCTGATGTAGCAACTGAAGCGGTCATTGCGCTCTATAAGTTTGCTTGTCCAGAGAATTTCCTATGTGTGGAGCACTCGAAGGCAATAATTGAGTTCAATGGCGTCCCTGCTCTTATGAGATTCCTACGGCGTAATGAAGATACTCAATTGCATGGACTAATCCTTCTCTGCTACCTTGCACTGCATGCTGGGAACAGTGAATCCTTGGAACAAGAAAGGGTATTGACAACTTTAGAGGGTGTTGATCGAACAGTTATTTCCCAGCATCCGGAAATAAAAGAATTAGTGTCAAAGGCATTAGTTCACCTTAATCTGTACCATGCCGGATCCCATTCTCAAAGGATTTCATATTATCCTTGAGTACTTATTCAGTAAGTTGGTGGGCTATGTTTTCATAGGTTCATGAGAATACTATCGAAATAGTTGCATCCTATGAAGCACTGATACTGGAAAAGATCTAAAGAAGTCATATTCTGTCAGGCATGGATGCTGCCATGCACTAGACGCTCCAATCAGATATGAAATGACACTTCAAATTGCACTTGAACGCTACTTATTTCTTTGTGTCATGTTTTGTGTGTGTATATATTCCGTATCAGTCTTTGGCTTATTAGGTTACATCTGGCTAACCCTTTGTGGATAAAGGGGGTCTATAGGAACAAACCGTACCTCTTGTAAGAATATACTTCAGTTTTTCAGCTTAGGCCGTCTTATCTTTTTTCCCGTGAACTGGGGAACGTGGTGAAGGTCAGAGGTTAAATTTGTTTTGGATAATAAACTCTTTTAAGCCCTTGGAATTTCTCTGTATACCTATTTTGTTGATTAAATTGATTCTCTATCATTCCTTTTGATGCTGCATTGTCTTGTAGTGGGAATAGGATTCTCTGAGATTTGATTTATCCATAGAATATGCAGCTGATATCTTCTTTGCCTCAGACTTGTCTTGATGAATCCTGGACGCTGATATTCTGTGAGTTTGAATATGCTTTGTTCATCTTTGTTTTGGATCTTGTCTTTGTTAGTTTTCTATAGTTTTTTCTGTGGCTACCGTCTACAGGAACGTCACCAATGAAAATACAATCTACACATGCTTCAGATGAGATGACATGCTGGACATAATATGGTTAGTTTGCAGATGAGACAGAGAAATCCGTTCATGTTTCTGAAAAATATCTAATTTAATGTTGGAATAATTCCTCCCCCTGTTCTCAAACAGTTCATGTAGCTTTTTATGAAATTGAAAAATTCTCAATATCTGGTTGTCCTCAGGCTCTGAAATTACCGAGTTTGTGACCTTGGGAATTCTTGAACTCATCCCCAAAAAAAAGGGGCTGTGACTGTAAAAAACGTTACTATTGATCGAAGGGCTTGATTTGTCTTTGTTGATGCTCTTTAACTTGTAAGTTGGGTAGCTTATTCTGGCTTCTGGTTTCATGCTGTGTTGTCATTATCTAAAAAGCTCTTCACTAAGAGGAGTTAACTGATTTATGGTCTTCAGAGGAGTTAGAAGATGCTCAATAAATATATACACTTTAAAAGTCATATTAAAAGCTGAGGCGTAAAAATAGAATGTGATGATCCACTTTAATGACCAAGGCGGGGGGCACTTTGGATTATGGTCAGGCAAGTCACTAGTTTTTGTGTGAGACGAGGTTGAAGAAATTTTTTTCTTTCACTTTCGCAAGATGTTTTGGCCTTCTGGTTACAAGGCAGTAATTTCTTTACCAACAGCGGCTGGAGGTGGGGTGGGCTTTCATATTCTGTTGTGTGGCCAATAAGATAGAATAGAATTCATGGTCTATTTTCACAGCGGCTTCAATTTCTTTTTTTTTTTGGGTGATAAAACAGGGGCTAGGCCCACTACATTACAGAACCATTACAAACAGTATAGACTCTTGGGGAATCTCAGTGCCAGCTAAATCTTCATGAGGATTCTCCGTATTTCAGGCGGAGTGTCCCAGATGGTTCTTGGTGAATCAAGCTGTAGGCTAAGGTGGGCTAGCTTGTCAGCTGCTCGGTTTCCTTCTCTAAAGACATGTCTGATCCTGATTTGCCAATCCTCTTTCATCATCTCCTGAATTTCCTGGAAAACATTCATATGTCGGCTGCGCTCTTTGTTCTGCACTAACAGGTCCACCACTTGCTTAGAATCACATTCCACTTCAATTCTCATGAATCCCATGTCTCGGCATAGTTCTAGTCCTACCAAGATACCCCACGCCTGAGCCTCTACCACCTCACAGCTTTCTAGTTGCACCGAGAAGCCCTTTAGCCACTCTCCACCATCCCCCCTTATTGCTCCTTCAATTTCTGAATACAATACGGTGGACTTCAATGTATTGCAGATATTTAAGGGAAAATTAAGAAAAACTCTTTCATTGCAAATTTTATTGGTAAAATGGACTTTGACAAATTTTTATACATAAAAAAAATATCGGTAGCATACAGAATGAAAAGTAAGGAAGAAAAAGTGGATCGGACACTAAACAAGTTAAGTTAGCAGTTTGAGAGTTAGTTGGTGGGATCGAGTCAACTTGGATCAAACCAGTTATATTAAAATATAATTTAATTAAAAATAACAAAATATAATAATATTAATAATCACTAACAACAAAAGACAAGAAAATATAACAATAATTTGATTATAACAATAACAAAGTACAACAACATTGAGAATTTTAATCTTGATGATTTATCACTAACTAAAATTACTAACATTAATAATCATTGATATCAAAATCATCATTAAAACTCATTCAAATCTATAATGATTGAAAGTTAAATGAGAAAAAAATAGGACTAATAACAATATAATTATCTAAACCAGTTCATTATTAGTTCACTCCAGTTCAATACCAGTTTAACTCTCTTCTGGTTCAACATCCAAACTACCATTTTTTTCCTTTTGAAAACCACTCTGTTTTTTTTGCCAGCATGAAAACCACTCTTCCATTAGGAGATTAATTCGTGATTCTTACAAAACAATGCCTACGATCGGATTGCTAAACCTTCCATATTGGTTCATTTAGGTGCAGTGAATAGTGATGAAGGTCAACCGGATAGAATGAGCCAAACTCTCTGCATTCAAGCGGACATGTCATACTTGTCATCGATCCAGACCATCCCATTAAATTTGACCAGTCGAGGTTTGATTTAATTTTAAATAAAATTTCATCAATTAGGTAAACTCTCACTTCTTTGAAAAATAATTTTATCATCTAAAAGTTCCAAATTAAAAATTTTAAATGTAGATGACTCAAATTTCACTTTACGTCTACTTGATGCAGCGAATTATTAGCTTGTATTCTTCCGAATAATCATCTCTCAAAATGCATTCTACCAATTTGTCCATCCATAAGAGAAATTGGCATCATATAATTCACTACAGCTTTTATGAGAAGGAGGAAAAGCTCAGGGAAAATCAGCATATATTACAATCAGATGACCCAAATGTTACATATACCAGCATCGTCGCCCTTAGTTTTATCACACTACAGTATTGGTTAGAACTGCCCTACCTGACACGAAAGCTTATAACCTACCCAGACAGTTGTTTTCTTCAAAATTCCACAGGGGGCGTCGTGCTCCAAAAGGAACATGGCTGCTGAATTGGAGGCATTAACGAACAAGTTCTGTGACTTCTAGGGACCCCAAAACTAGTCCGAAGGGTGGCCTTGTATAATCTTACCATCTATTGTTTGCTTTCAGAGCTACAAGCACAAGCTAGGTTATTTCATAAAGGAAGACCACTATGGCACTACTTTCAAAATTTGTAGGAATGGCATCCTAGTCAGTTCCTTTTTTTAGCCCATTTTCTGGCTTGCTTTGTCGAGTCCATTGTCAAGAAGTTGCAACATCAGTAGTCAAGGCAAGGGGAATATGAGACTCTTTGCCAGGAATGCATGACAAGTCAACATGAAGGCAAAGCACGCCACCTGTCAGCAAGATGCATGGCGTGATCCCGTGAAGGCAATGAAAGCCTCTGTAGAACTACATTCTTGACACGAGCGGCGGCTCTTTCACCAGCACGTGTGGCAAGTTCTAGGTATACCACAGCTTTCATCGAGTCACCCTCCTGTTCAGATGCAACATCTCTGTTAGAATCATGTATAATCTGAAACACGTACATATAAATAAGACAAAAACCCAAAATCTTATGCCCAGGAACACTTAGCCATTGCTGACAACTATTTCAATCTTATGTATAGATGTCATATAAAAAACAAATTATAAAAACCTAAAGAAAGGGAATACAAAGGTAAATTGGAACCCCCATTAGACGCATAAATGCATGAAAGGCTGTTTTTAATAGAACCTAAAACAGGAGGAATACGCAAAGTTCATGTAAGTCTAATTTGTGTTAGTAACCTAGTGGAACTGAACTCTGAAACTAAATATCGTGATCATGTAAATCTGAGTAGAAATATGGATGATGTGAACTGAAAGTCATATACTACACCTGGACAAAAGATCGCGGTTTAATTACTAACGAACTTTAAAAATAAAGGACGGTGAGACCTTAAAGCTCAAAAGCCAAATCATGAAGTCTAGTTTGATATAAGAAACAGTCACACAGAAGTTGTACGTTTCATTTTTCTTTCTTTTTTTTTCTTGTTTTTGGGGAACCATGAATATTCAAAATAAGAGGGCTCATATTGCTGGTCGAGAAAAATAAAAGGTATAGGTCGATTGCTTACAGAAAAGAGAGAAAGTCCATGCTCGAATTGAGCTTTACTGTGACCATGATCTGCAGCCCGCTTCATCCATTTTCTTGCAAGCTGATGATTATGTGCCAAACCTTCACCGGAGGAGTAGCATAAGGAGATATTGTACATTGCACGCACATACCCTCCTTCTGCAGCTTTCAAATACCATTTAGCCTGTTCCGTGGAAAAAGTTAGTGGCAAAGATCAGCATACACATGCTTGTGCAAGAACAGAATGGCATACTATGACAAGCATTTCTTACATTAAAAAGCCAATTCACAAACAAAGGTTTAATACACCCATCAAATAAAGAAGGAATATAGTTACTGATATCAAGGGATGCTTTATGTTGATGTCAAGCAAATTAACACTTACAGCTTCTCTTATGTTGCAATTGACCTTGTGACCTCGATGAAGGCAAAGCCCCAGTTGGTATTGAGCACGGGCATTCCCACCAATTGAAGCTTTGTATAACCATTTTAAGGCTTCCTTAGTTTTTGGAGGTTCAGCTGCAGAGCAAATTTATACCTTCATAAGCATTTTTTATTGTCATAAACTTTGGTGCCATCAAGGCATGATATGTATGGACAATTTTTATTTTTTAGGATAAAATATATCTCAAACAATCTTTTGTGAAGGAATGCAATGCAATTGCAAATATGGAAAGAGGACCTACTTAAATTAGCTTTCATTTTCTTGTCACTTTCAAGCAAGGAAAAAGCTTTCTTGAAGAAATGCAGAATTCATTTTTTGGGATGCGGGGTTCATATACATGCAGGGTAATTATTATAGCAAAGATAAATTGTAACAAATCTGAGTACAAGTTACAGATAAGTTTCATTGATATGCACCATATAACTGAATTATGAAGCATGAAAACCATCAAACATTATGCAGTCCCAAAAACCGCCCAAGTTCAAATTAAGGTTAAAAAAAAAAAAAACTTACTTGCGTGACTATCGTGAGCCAAGTGAAGTTATATCTTGGAAAGAAATCCTTTGAACGCCTAATAAGGCAAAGCAGAAATACAGATAAAACCAAAACCTCAGTTATTTATAAAAGAACCGGTCCTCGAAAACTGCAGTCTCCCATGACATCGGACAAGTGAAATTTTCCTTCAGCACTCATAGATGCCATAATATTGCACTCAACCCTGAAGGACTAAATGGTTTCACAGCAATGAGTTTCTGACTTTCTGCTGCAACCCGAAGTACGTGCATAATCTTCCATTGTGTGCTTTACGTTGTTTTTATGTTTATTGATTTTGATTTTAACCTCGGCGCAAACTGAAACTCATATTTTAAGAAAACATTTGTGCATGAAAATTTCAAGAGCATGGATATCATTATTACATAACACACAGCTAAGAATCGCTATTAGTATATGTAAATAGTGCACTCAGCAGAAGTGTAGATGAACTATTGAAATGTGATGGCAAAAAAGATGAAGTATTGAAATATGAAGGCACAACATAAGTCTAAAAACATTACATCTTCCACCTTCCGACTTCCAATTTCATTTCTTCTATGCAAATTCTAAATTCACAAGTCCATATTATCAGAATTTATAAATATGCAATATGTAGTTTGGATGAAGGCCTGAGGAGAGGCACTTGTTCTCAAAAACAGGACGGGAAAAAAAGGATTTTAAGACTAAAGATTGAAGCTTCAACTGAGATTTTAGATGAAATGAAATAAAAATGGTAACTATAAAGTTTAAATTCTGGAAATACCTTGCAAATAGGAAATTCCCAAATTGCACTGGCCAGCTGGGTCTCCGAGTTCAGCAGCTCTCTGATACAAAACAATTGCCTTCTCCTTCTCGCCCATCTGCCAGTAAATCAGACCCGCATCAACCATAGCCAGAGCGGAGCCCCGAGCCGCAGCTTTCAGGAAAGAATCTAGGGCCTTGTCTATATTCGGACGAACGCATCTCTTTCCATGCTTGAATCTCTTTCCCCAACTCAGAAGACGCATCGCCTCCCTCAACGGCTTAAGCGCCTCCGACCACGACCGACAAACCAGAGACGCCGCTTGAAGGTTCGGGAGGGTAAAGGAAGCGGCGATTTTCGCAAGAATGTCATAGGGGAGGGCAGAGAAATCGGCATCACGTGATGAAGATCCTGATGGAGCAGACACTGATGATGCCCTTGAGCAGAGCCGAGTTGAGCGACCTGAGTAAGCCGATGCTTTGAAAGGGGTTTTCGAGGTAGAATTTTTAGTGGAAACATCAGAGTTGATCATATTAGGAAATGGAAGAGATGAGAAACGAGAGACCCCAGAGCGAGAAGGCCATGTTCTGTGCTTCATCTTCGTTTCTTGGTGTCCCAGGGCTCCGACAAAGGAACTGAAGAAGCCACTGATTCGTTAAGGACGGGACGAACGGAACAGATTGGGTGACAGACGAAACGACGTCGGTAATTGCTTTCACCTCACGCATTCGCAATTTCGCAAGTCGTGTCCCTTTCTTTTTCACTCCTCTTTTTCTTTTCTTTTTTGATAAGAAAATTACATGCTTCTATTGCAATGTGAACATATAATTTCTATTTCAGAGTGCCGTTGATGTTGATATGTCGTCTCAGAAAAAAATAAAAGAAAAGAAAAAGACAAGCCATCGTTTTCAACTCTGATATTGAAAGCTTTCATAAGATTTTTTTTCTAATTCGTTATTTGCCTAATTTTGTATCAGGTCAATTTTTGAGTTGGTAAATTCAGTTTTTTTAAAATGTAAAATAGATCTTAAAAAATTTAAATCTTTATATTGTATATAATTATTGTATAATTAAAAATAAGTTTTTAATAAAATATTAACTTATCAATCAATCATTAGTATATTATACTCCTTCAATCCTTAATGTAAGAACTAATTAACTAATTTAAGTGAATTAAGAATATTAGTTAAATTGGGTAATATAATATATTTTTTCTAAAATATCCTAAGACCTAAGGATCTTTGTTAATTCACTCCCTCCCTCTTCTACTTAATTATTGTTAAGAAAATATCAATAAGATTAATTTAAAAAAAATTTATAAACGTGAAATAAATTTTATATATAAAACTAATATCAACTCTTTAGTTAGGTCTTATATTAATAACCGAAAAAGTATAAAATAATACAAGTGTCACTTTCAATTAATTTTTGAAAAAAAATACTATATGAGAGAAAATAATGACTTCTCACCTCAATTTTTGTTTTGCATGAAAAAACTATAGACAGGCGTGTTGATTACACAACTTAATATAACTCCTCCGATCCTTAATATAAAATCTATTTAACTAATTTAATTAGATTAAGAAAGTTAGGTAAGTTAGTTAATTATAAGAAATATGACATGTTTTTTCTACAACACTATAATCATCTCCCTTAATATCATCCCTCCCTCTTCTACTTGATGATAATTGAAGAAATATCCATATGAGTCATTTAGAAAAAATTAATAAATATGAAAAACAAGTCTTATATTTAGAATCAAAATCAATTTGACAATCACGTCCTACATTAAGGATCGGAAGAGTATTACTTTTCCATGTTAATATAAGAATTAGATAGTTAGTTTGTAGAAATTAAAAAATTAGTAAAATTAATTATGTGTAATAAATAAATATTGTTTTCACTAAAATACACTTATTAATTATGTGTATTAAAACTACTTCTTGCTAGAATCTTCTCAACATGTGTAATCATCATATGGGTTATTTTGAAACAAAATAAATAAATATTAGAGACAAAGTAAATTTGAACTTTATATTTAAAATTAAATTGAATCTTCAACTAACTTTCATATTAAAAATTAGAGGTAGTATAAATTTTAATAACAAAAAAATAAAACGTGGATAATCAATCTGTTTATTATATCAATTACTACCTCCGATCCTAAATATAAAAACTAGTTGACTAATTTAAGTAGATTAAAAAAAATAAATTAAGTTAGTTGTATATAATAAAAATCAAAAGTGGTATAAAATAAAATTCTTCATACCAAAAGGTAAGGATCCTAAAGGCAAACTCTTTATTATAGTTGTGGTGATTTTGTTCAACTAATAGTTAACGCTTTTGTTTAAACATGAGGGTAAATTCCTTTTGTTAAAAAATAATTTGAAAAAACTCCTATTTACAATTTGGGCAGGCACAGTACAATTGCTGTATATGTGGGACTGCTTTAAAATGATCTGAGCGTGAAGACAGAATCAGTTATGGTGTGAATCAGAACAGAATCTTTTATCACCTATCTAGCAGTCAAATGCCTCATCACTTGTTCACAAATATTTCATATTTTTTTCGTTAGCCCCATCATGAATTGGTTGACCTCGACTTTCCATTTTTTTTTCTCATCAAATTAAAGTCGATTGTCTTATATCTCATTGCTTCTGGTTGAATGAATGAGCATATAGATGCATGCTCCTCTGCTCCTGCTTATATCACGTACTATTTATAAATTATTTTTAGTATGTTTTATATGAACTGAAAAAAATTAAATATCATTAAATCTGTCTTGAAATTTAATGACTTTTCAACTTTACTGTTATTTAATATACATTATATTTTCTGATCCTATTTATAAAATAGAGAAGACATTTTTTAATTCTATTTATAGAGCAGTAAAAAAAATTTATACGGATGTACAGTTTTACGGTTCATTTATTATTATGTTTATTTTATTTATATAAGGTTTAATATATATTAAATAAGAATAAAGTTAAAAATTTATTAAATTTTAAATGAGAGTTAATGAAGTTTAAAGTTTTTTTTTTGTCTTTATAAAATATGTTAGAGGCTAGGACTAAAGTGATACCTCATAGGAACAAAATTAACATAATAATAAATGAAAAGTAGAATTATACACTTATATGAAAAATGACTCTCTTTATCCTAGAAATAAGACCAAATGAGTTTTCCAATAATTACATTGTGCCTGTATCTTATTTTCACGGCAAAATATTATCGAAAATAATTGACGTAATGGTTATAAAAATTTTCACTCAAATATCTGTATATTGAAAAATATACAAGATGTGACAATTTTGTTTAGAGATAATATCTGAATTTCAATCCTGGGATGAACGAAAAATCTAAGATACTAAAGTTTGAGCTGCAGTCCTAAGTCTCAAAGAACAAGATTTTATGGTGTGATGGCAAGAAAAAATAAATATTCAAATGTCTATTGATTACTACTACTCAAGTATTTCAGGAATACAAGATTTGTTAAGGTTGCTATTGTTAGTTTTTAATTCATAGAGCGGTGGAAAGAGTCAGGATTCATCAGTTACCGTTATGAATGAAATAAAGTTGGTAGATTATTAAGATGGTGAAAACTTTGGAAGCCAAAAAAATATCAATATTTCTGATAATTTTCATAATAATCGTTCACTTTTCAGATGTTGTGCACGCAGGTGACAAGAAAAAAAACGTCTGATATAATAATAAGAAGCCTGTGTAGTAATTAATTAATTAATTAATTGACGACATGAGTATTTTCTTTTTTGGGTGACAACGACATGAATACTTATATTTTAGCCCAATCACATATTGGGACAATCCTAAAATTTCATCGTCCGTAGTAAAAAAGTGATAAACCACGTACCCCATTTAAAAAAAAAAAAAGTGATAAACAATACTAAAACTTTGAATCTTTCTTTTTTGAGGGGGGAAAAATTTTGTATCTTTTCAAAAAAAAAAAAACTTATAAATTAATGTGCCTCCAAAATGGACCTTAAAGTCCAGACACGCAACGAGGTCCGGCTCTTATTTGACCTTTGCGTAGCCCCTCTTGTCTGATTTTCATCTCCTTTTAAAGGCGCTATGCATGTCTAACACTTTGGAGGATTGAAATCCAACTGCACCCCAATTTTATTACCAAAAAAAAAAAGTAACATAAAATAATATATATTAATTATTCTAAATAAGTCATGTCACATTTATTATAATTAACTAATTTATTATATTAATTAACATTTGCAGTATCATTAGAACATGCAAGATATCTTCAATTATTAAACATAAATATTACCTCCGGTCCTTAATATAAGACCTTGTTTGATTTTTATTTTGATTCTAAATATAAAACCTCAATCCACTTTGTCTCTCGTATTTATACATTTTTTTTCAAGGTAGTCTTTCTAATAATTGTAGTTCTAGCCAATATAGTTGATTAATAAGAATATTTTAGGAAAGACAATGCCTATTTATTACAAATAACTAACTTAACTTCTTTCCTTAATCTCCTCAAATTAGTCAACTGGATCTTATAATTAAGACCGGAGCTAGTATTATGGATATGAGAATAGCTTCCATGGTTATACCACTGCATCTAGAGCCGTCAAAACGGGCCAAGCCCATCGGGCCAGCCCTTTTAAGCTCTTTTAAATGGAGGGCCAGACTTGTATTTTATGTGGTTTAAAAGGAAATTGGGCTTAAAAGGGCTAGCCCTATAGGGCTCAAAAATAAAAGGGCCAACCCTTTAGGGCCAAGGGCTAGCCCTTTTAAACCCGTCTATTTTTTTAATTATTATCAATATATTTATAAAGTTATAGATTAGTTTTTTATGAATAAGTTTAAATTAGAAAAATACCTAGAAGAGTCAATACTCAAGCTAGATAATTGAAAAGAATTAAATGTCTTGGACTTGTGGAAAAACAATTAAAATCAATTTGCAATTCTTTCAAGAAGGTAACTGATATTATTAACATTTTAATCACCATAATAGCTAGTAGATCTTCATTTACCATCGGTTTACATATCTTAACAAAGTGTAAAACTTTTCTTATTCGAACAAATGTTCAGGTTCTTATTTGTACTTATAACTACTGCATAGTTTTATTTCAGATAAGGTAAATGAAGACAAAAACCTTAATATTTTATCACTGAAGAAGAGCTCACTTGTAGTAAAGAACAATCAAATATTGCTGAGCTTGATGATACTGATGAAGATGAAGATAAAGATAATAATTATGTTGATATTGTTAATCTTTAACTGCTAGGTTTTATCTTTCTGTTTTTCGTGTTTTGTTAGATTTTGATTTTTTATTTATTTTGGACAATAGTTTATAGCATTTAATTTTTTTCTATACACCACTAATTTATTTTACTTATATTTATAATTTGAATAAAAAATCTTAGAAGTTTTGTTGTTTTATTTTTTATTTTAAAATAATTTAAAAGAATTTAAATTTTAAAAATAACATAAAGGTTCAGCCCTTTTAAGCCCTGAGCCCGCATGCCTAAGGGCCGGGCTTTAATAATTAGATAATTTTAAGGTATGTGGGTTTAAAGGGCCAGCCCTTTTAGGCCCTGGCCTTTCAAGGGCCAACCCTTTAGGGCCGGACTGGCCCTTATTGACAGCTCTACGGCGCATCTGCGCATCATAAAGTACAATTAAGACACATTAAGTCAATGGTGACCTAAGTAGCGTGCCAAGCACTTTTAACTCTCAAGGCCTCATACGTATAAATTTTTTTTTTTGGATTGGATCTCATACGTATAATTTTAATATCTGAAAAAGCTTCAAAATTTTTCCGAGTTCATCCATTATATTTCTTCCAATTCTTAATATAAGAGTTAGTAATTAACTATAAATATTAAGTAAATTAATTAATTATTTATTTATAATAAGTATATGGTACCTTTCCTAAAATTTATTAACCTTGTGTATTTGAATAACCCTCATTAGCATGTGTAATGATCATAAAAATTACTTAAAGACAAAATAATAAAAATATTAAAGACTTATATTAGAATAAAATTGAATCTCTACTTTATATTAAAAATCAGATAGTATTAAATAAAGACATCATCCTACGGATGTTTTGTCCCTTGTCACCCTCACACACACGTGGGAACAAAGAGAGAGACATGAATTTTATATATATTTTGCTAAACTAATGCACAGCATGTGTAGGTAGCTAGGTGAAAATTAAATATGCGATATGCATTTCCATGACATATGAAGCTGGTCACAAATTGGTAATATTTAAAGGGCGTGAAATAATTGAGGTGGATTATATTGAGGAATCTTGTAGTAATCTAATCAACTAATAAACCACACGTAGCGAGGACAAGAAAAATCTGTTTCTTGCTCAAATCCCAGGAAAAAACCATTTTCCAATTCCTACCCTTTATCAAGTGAGCCTCCTCTTCCCGCTCATTCTGATCCCCATCTGATTACATCGAATCAATTTTTAAATGCGCCTGTTTTATATTGTGTTTTTATAGAGTCCGTCAGATTTTTAATATAAGACTCAGTTGATCAATTTAAATATATTTAAAAGATTATTAAATTACTTTAAAGCGTTTATATTTATCATTTTTCTTCAAACTAATTTGCTTTACTTATTGACACATAATCTAATGATAGACATAAGTATTTTAAAAGAATCATATAACACATGTTATAATTAAGTAATTTAATAACTTTTCTAATGTCTTCAAATTAGTCAATTGGGTATATAAGGATTGGATATAGTACTATATTTTTAAGATTATTTATTTTATATAACTGTATTTAATTTTTAATTTTTAATTTGACTCCTATGATTTAAAATTGTAATTAGATATTCATGATAATAAAAAATTATCAATGTTATTTTATCACATGCGAATTTATTATATTTTATTATACATATTTTTATCAATTTTATTTATCATTTGAAGTCATGCGTATTTTAAGGGTGTTAAGATAATATATACAGGTACAAACTTACCTTTGTTTGATAAAATTTAGGGCCACTCCTTTTTCTATCAATTCCGTCGGACAAAAATAATGTGCAAATAAATATTTCAATGATGCTTAACAAATATTTACACATTTAAAACGAAAAAACCATACAATTATCAATTGCAAAAAAATTCTGTTTCCAAAATTTAAATTATAAAAATTAGATTAAGGTCTAAATAATATATCAAAGCGTAGGGCTTCTTGTTAATTTCTAGCATATTGAAGGTGCCATGCCTGGGCCGTCTTGGAGGCGCCGCCCCAGCTTGTCCACATGTATAAAAACAAGAAGCCAGTCAATTAATTATAATTTAATTAAATAAATAGTAATTATTTTTCCATAAAAATAAAATAATACAAACTCCGGTTATGATTATGTGTACGTACGTACCTACTTAATTAGTAAATTAGCGAGTTTGGCAATTATGTGTAAACATAACGTACGACATCAAATACTACGTATAATGTAAAAGATCAATTATTGGTGCTCAAGCGTGTTGAAGCTTTAGAGTGCAATAAGCAGGGGCCATTCAAATAAAGCATAGGATTCTTAATCTTCCTTTTTAATTCACATGTGGTTTGTCTTTTGTCGGTTTACCTAATCACCTGTGAATTCATTGGCTAACTCACCAAAAAAAAAAAAAAAGAGTCACATTACACAGAACCTTCCCCACTATCAATCCCAACCCTCCCCAGGTGGTTCGGCTCGGAGGTCGGAGGACATGTGGGCCTCTGCAAGACGCTGAAACCCTAGGGTCAAAAGAAGGGAAGAATATGAAACTAAACAGAAAAAATGACTTTAAACTTTTAAAAAATAAATATAATTACCAAAAATTCTCACAAAGTAAGTATTATCTGAGTCTTTTTGGTAATAACATTAAACTTATTTTCCCAACCAAACATCTCTGTGTGTTTATATATACTCATCCGATTCTTAATGTAAGATCCAATTGTTTAGTTAGTTTTGGTCCTAAATATAAGACCTATTTCTTATATTTATCAATTTTCTTCAAATTATCCTTATGAATACTTCTTAATTATAATCAAGTGAAAAAAGAAAGAGGTATTAAAAAAAGATGATTATAATGTTTTAGAAAAAATATGTCACATTTTTTATAAATAATTAACTTATCTAATTTTTTAATCTAATTAAATTAGTTAAATAGCTCTTGTATTAAGGATCGAAAGAGTATATATATATATATATGAGTAGGGCTACATGTTCAAGAATTTATCGGGGCTTCCGTTTAAAATTCTCTCGAGCGGGCAATGAGGAGCAGCAAGTGCAGCATCTGGCAGAAGGCATATCGTTCTTTTGAAAAAGGCTTCATTCCCACTTATCTATTGGCTATTGGCTATTTATATTTATGATATATGTGTACCCTTTGATTTTGATCGGCTTGGAATTTTTTCTCTCTTGCGCGGGGCCATATATTAACAGTGATCATCACTAAAGCTAAACGCTCAGATCACTCACTGGTAAATATGGAAAAAGTCTGTCTTCTCAATCAGCTCATGCACAGAAAAAAGGAGAAATAAACAAGCTTCAGCTTCTAAAAGTCTCTTCTCAACTGATTAAAACCTAGGTCTCCTCGTCTACGAGATATTCTGGTTATCTGCTTATCTTTATTATTCTTATTTTTCACTCTGGCATTTAATGAAGTCATATATATGTCATGTCACCAAAACATTTGACTCAGTAGTTTGATTTCATTACTGACACTAACTAACTTTATTGAATGAAGTGGTTAAAAAAGCTACTTGACAAGGATAAACTCAAGCAAGTTACGATCTTGCTCCTACAAGGTTGAGAATTAGGAACGCAGAATAACAAACAGAAGCTGATTAAGATGTCATTTTATTGATTCACACTAGTTTATACAAATAGTTTTATAGAGTTCAGTAGTTCTAGCTCTAGCTCTAGCTAATCTGCAAACAACTAAAACTGAAAGAGAAGGTCTAGACTATAAATAAGAGAGCTACAGAAGATAGCAGATCAGTCAGCTAGCTCTTTCAACATGGCGTATGAACACCGTATCCAAATCTGGAGGAGTGAAGAACTTGTTAACGCCACGGCGATACTTGCACTTGAAAGAAGACGCCGGCGGCTTTGGCTTCCGAGGAGCCGGCGGGCAAGTGGAAGGCGGTGGGATTCTGGACTCTTCCCCTGTCGGCGTCGTCAGACACTCCTCCGTCTCGTCGTCATCCTCGCGATCTTTCTCGGCCGTGTAAATTGGCTTCAACGGCCCTCGTAAACTGATTCCGGCGATGACCCATTTTTTGTTACTAGCATTAGACGTCGACGACGACGACGACGACTCAAAGCCTCCTTCCACGACCTGTGCCTTCTCAGAGAAACCCATATTTATAAACCAGAAAAACAAAAAACTGTTTCAAGATGGTGTATATATATAAAAATGGCAGGGGAATAAGGGAATAAAGATGGCTTTTTTTAAGCGGAAAAAAGGACTTTGTTGCTTTATCTTTTTCTGGGTATGGAGGGAATAAGAATAAGAGATGAAGCCAGTAGGAAAGTGCAGAAGAAAAGGGGCTTTGGGGCTGGTTCAAAATTAAAGGATCAAAGAGTGTATATGAAGATTGTTTGAGGCAGAGGGAACAGTGAAAGAGATTGGAGAGAATTGTAAGATACGGTCATAAATGAAGAATGTGAAGAAGGTGAGGTTTGAGATGGTGATTGTTATAAGGCCAATTGGGAAGAGGAGGAGAGAGAGAGAGAACCCGAGGAAACTCGTGAGTTGCTGACAAAGATATAGAAAACCAGGCAGGAGAGACGGTGGAGGAAGAGGGTGCCCGAGAAAAGAGCTGACCGACGGGCAAGAGAGAGAGTGGGGGAGACATGAATTTTGGCGCCAAGTTCACAGGGTGTTTGGGATCGTAAACATATCAAGTCAGTCCTAAGAATGTAGGCTAAAGTCTTTTGCTTTTAGAATTGTTCTTCCTTTTTGAGGATGCCACATGTTTTTTTTTTTGTTGTTGATATTTTCTGCAACCTACCACAAAAGAATTATCTAAGTTGACGAATATTTAAAAACTTACATTCACCCATAAAATCTGGGGGGTTATATGTACGATTTACCTTTTTGGCCAAAAAAATGTACGATTCACCTTAAAATTATACATTTAATTATAAAATGATACATTTATCATATTTTTATTGAAAAGCGGATTAAGAATTAAATCATTCATTGTGGATAATTTTATATACTACATTTAATTATAAAATGATACATTTAAGGACCGGAGGTAGTACCTTACAACATTTAACATCTTTTTTAAGTAATTTTAAATATAAAATTGCGTGTTCGCCTCTTTATAAATGTGTCCTATGGGCATACTCTTTTGTTGAATAATAAAAAGTCATGCCTTCCATTATCAATAAAAGATAATGGCCTATACCATTAAATCAAATTGAGCTGATAACACATATCATGTTGTTAGTATAAATTTTGATGACAAGATATAAAAATATACTTGCATTTCTTTGTTTTCCTTTAAAAATACTCTATGTTCCATACATTACATGAAAATTCTATATTATTTATGAATATGAATAATGAGATTATCAAAATTTTTATGTTATACCATAGGTAGATGATAAATTAAATTATTTACTTTGACCTTTTTTAGCTATAGAAATACTTGTACAGACTAATTTATTTAGGAAAAAAAACTGTTTTTTAATCCTTGAACCTTGATCAGTTTAAGCCAAGATGCTAATAATTTCTCCATTTAAGAATCAGTTTGGAATTGTGAGTAATTTTGGTCATTACCACTTGCTCTTATCAAACATTATTATCACAATAGTAACATAAGCAGCGTGTCTTTTTTAGGAATCTTAACCAAAGTTGAGCAAAATTTTAAGGACTAATTTCTTAATGAAAGTATAGGGTCCTTGACACAACTTTAAGGACCAAAATTATATTTTCCCAACTTGTTATTCTATAATTAATTCATATATTCACTAACTTTTAGTTTTGTGATGAGATATCCATTTAATAATTAAGTAATAGTTTGTTTAAATATTAATTTTAAAGCTTTAAATAATCAAAAATAAAGGAACGTATCAACATCTCCAATTAAGTGATGTGTGTTAATATTCTCTTGATTTTAGAGGGGGAGGTCTAATGTTTTTCCCCATAAACTCAACACTAGGGATTTTCTTAAATTAAGTTTCTTATTTTTAATAAACTTTTCGGATTTTCTTAAATTAAGCTTCCTATTTTAAAAAATCATGATGTTTTCAATTGAAATAGAAAAATTTTGGTCCAGCCCTGTTCTTTAATAACTAAACGCCTTTGCTATTCATAGTCATTTTTAAAATATAAGGCCCTTAATTTTTTATAATTTGTCCCATCAAAATTTTGAAAAGCAACCCGTTTATTTCTGGAGCAAAAAAGCTATACAACACCAAGCCATATAGGGATAAAAAAAAAAACTTATTAGGAAGAGTGAAAAGCTCATTACACGTGGCATCTATAAATAGGTTCCTATTCTATAGTCATTAACCATCCTTGGTAATTTTCCGCATTCATGTCTCATTGTGAATCCCATGTTTGTGCCTTCTGTTTCCTTTTATCCCCTCACTTTTAAGGTGGATTATTTAATTTCCTGCTTCCATGTCTTATTATGTATCTGTTTTCCTCATAGGTGCATGAATGGAACCTTTTTTTTTTAAAAAAAAAAAACAAATTTACAAGATATGGTAAGATATGGGATTAGCTGGAGGATTTTGAAATACAATCGTCAAATGGGTTGTTTTACAATGAAAATCCAAATTCAAAATCCTATTTCACTTTGAATTATCATCTTCAAATTATTTTTTAGCCTCAGTCTTAAAGCACTTGAATTCTCTCACTTGTTTCACTTCTTATCCTGCTAGAATTGCAATAAAGGGAACAGAGGTTTAAGACATGCTTGATTATATCTGTTTAATTTTCTCATAATAATATCACTTTCAAATTAGTGGAAAATGATATCACCATGCGAAATCAATGCTTGGAGTTATATAGTTTTTCTTTCTCTTTCTTAAATATCTGAATGATTTGATGCAATATAAATGGACACCTCACATTTATATAATATTCAACGTGTTGTCTTTTAGACTTTTACACATTTTCCCCTGAGAGACGCACAGTTTCAAATGACATCCTCTGACATGAGCAATTCAAGAAAGTCATCATCATGCCCGGCTTGTTACTATGTTAGGGTATTATTTAGCAGAGCTATATGAGAAATTCCAGGCCATTTCTTTTCCTAAAGAAATGAAATCTTTCTTAATAAATGGATGAAACATAAGTCATCAGTAATGTAATATCGATATCAGACAATTCAACTGTGTCCGTGTGGATGAGAAAGAAAGAAAGAAAGGAGGCGAAAACAACAAGAAACAGCTGTAGGCTTCAAAGCTACTTTTCTTTCTTTTTATTTGAATGTCCCATGTTCCGTTACTTTTTATCTTGATCCCCACGTCTTTACAACTTGGAAAAGCCAGTACTGCTGGGAAACTCTGGAATTTGTCCTTCCATTTTCTAGATGCATGACTATAATGATTGAAAGTTATGGATCCGTATGTTTAACAAGTTGTATACTATTCACAAATGTCTTTATAATACATAGGAAACATAAGAAGCTGTAGTAAAACAATCTCCATACTTCTCAGGATTTAAGGTGAATCATTCTGTTTATTGCATACTGATATACTGATTTGTTATAATCAGGCTCCACATTAATCAAAAGCAAACTCTTCTCCGTCTTTGTGGATTTTTCCATTGTTACGTATAATGATGTCCATGGGCCAGGTCAGGTTGAGTTTGGCCTAGAACCCTAGTTTTAAAAGTTGAAGTTGACATTCAGAATTGGTTATCTCCAGTAAAGGAAAGGTAGATTCTCTGTGCAGAAGATGCCACGATTCTTTTGAAGGGTGGGGATTGACAGCTCACAGAAACACATAAATATGAATCAAATATAAACTCAAGGTGAACTGATTACATCCTTGAATAACCTCTATGGTCTTCATATTGCTCCATGAACTCATCATTGAATTTTTTGAAACTATCCATAATAGCAGGCATGTCTTCCTCAGCTGGTAAAATAGTTGTCCTCAAATGGAAAGCCCTATATGCAGAAAGTTTCAGGCATTAAAAGTCGAATAACAGAGGAATATCATTTTATTATCGCTCTAAAGAGACGCATCAAAGAAGAAATATAAACACTTGGATAGAAAAATAAATTATCAGGTCATTACCCTTCTTTCTGTCCAAATCCTGAACCAGGAACAGTGGATATGCCGGTGGCTTCTAAAAGCTTGAGACAATAAAAAACATCAGGGGCCTTTCCAGCTTGTTTAGCAGCCTCTATTGCTCTGGAAGGCAATCGTATTTGAGGGAAGGAATACATAGCACCTGAAACACCAGTTGATTGATGATCAATGGATTACCCCGGACACGATTTTAGAACATACCAGAAGTGAAAGGAAATATCGCATTCCACAGAAAAGTTAATTGAAGTGTATCACCTTCTGTAAAATTACATACAACGTTCCTGCAGCTGTTGAATCCATCAGTCATTAATCTCGCTCTTCTCCTCAGTGATTCGAGTACTCCTTTGCTGTATATAACAGAAGAATTGTTGATTTAGATGGATGGAATGTGAGGGAGGTTGTACACTAATCATTTTCATGTATCACCAATCAAGAAAACCACAGCTAACTAAAATGAATTTTGACACCCAGCAACTGGGTCTTATTATTATTACCTTTCCCTAACAAATTGTTCATAGGTTATATCTCCAGTTTGGGTGGATTCACCATCAGCCCCATCTGTACAACAAGGAAGACGACAAATGAGATTATTAGTTCCAACAAATGAGTTCATAAAAAAATGTCATATCAGAAAACATTCAATCCAACTTACAAATATCTGTGCTGGAACATTTGGACTGAGGGAGATTGACGCAACTTTGTAGATCTCATCAACTGTCTGCATAAGAAAGTGAGAGTTCAAGTAAAAAACCAACCGAGAGTATACAAGGGTAAAGAACTGAAGCATCACAGCAACTTAGTTTCGTGAAATAACATTTCACGTGGCACTGACAGATGTATTTCTGGTCAATATCACAGGCAACATTGTTAACAACGTAAAATTTGGAGAAATTAGAGTCACTGAAGTTTAAAAATAATAATAATATTCAGGCCTTTCTCGATTATGTTTCCACCACTCCATGTTCCAACTCAAGTCCTCAGTAACTTCAACGGACTTGCCAAGGCATACCTCTGGAGGAATGTAGTCATCTCAAAATATCCACCCCTCTGTCCACATTCACCCCAATATCCTTTTGACACTGTGTGAAAGAAAACAAGCTGGAGTTCCTTGCTTATTGGTGGCCCCATATCCATCAAAACCTATTTGAGGAGGGCAAAAATATAGTATTAGATGTTAGGTCAGTGGAAAAAACTGCAAATCAGTGGAACAACAAAGAATACCTTTTTAGCACTGATAACGGTCGTTCATCTTGATATATGTTCTGCTGGTAAACCTCATCTCCAAGCAATACTAGATTTTCTTGAAAACAGTAACGCAGAAACCTCTCTTAAATTTGCTTCACTAAGGCATTGACCAGTAGGTTTCCGGGATTTATGATCACCATTGCTCTTACCTGATCATATTTCAGTTTATAAGAAACTGGATAGCTTTCTTTAGA